TTTCCCAGCCAGGACCTCATCTGTTCTGCCCATATCCCTCGATCCTGAACCACAGCTCCCTACTGTCCCAGCCTCAGTCCCCTCCGTTCCGCTCTGCCCACATCTTTCAATCCTGACCTGCAGCCCTCTGCTGTCCCAGCCTCGGTCCACTCTGCTCTGCCCATGTCCCTCTATCCCAACCCAGCCACCTGCTGTCCCAACCTGGGTCCCCTCCGCTCTGCCCACAGCCCTCTATCCTGACCCAGCCACCTGCTGTCCCAACCTGGGTCCCCTCTGCTCTGCCTACATCCCTCAATCCCGACCTGCAGCCCTCTGCTGTCCCAGCCTCGGTTCGCTCTGCTCTGCCCTGCCCATGTCCCTCTATCCCAACCCAGCCACTTGCTGTCCCACCTGGATCCCCTCCCCTCTGCCCACATCCCTCTATCCCAACCCAGCCACCTGCTGTGCCACCTGTTGTCCCAACCTGGGTCCCCTCCACTCTGCCCATGTCCCTCTATCCTGACCCAGTGACCTGTTGTCCCAGCCTCAGTCCAGTCCACTCTGCTCTGCCCACATCCCTCAATCCTGACCTGCTGTCCCACCTGGGCACCCTCCGCTCTGCCCATGTCCTCTATCCCGACCACAGCTCCCTGCTGTCCCAGCCTGCGCCCCCTCCGCTCTGCCCACATCCCTCAATCCTGACCCGCAGCCCCCTGTTGTCCCAGCCTCGGTCCGCTCCGCTCTGCCCACATCCCTCAATCCCGACCTGCTGTCCCAACCTGGGTCCCCTCCACTCTGCTCACAGCCCTCTATCCTGACCTAGCCACCTGCTGTCCCACCTGGGTCCCCTCTGCTCTGCCCATGTCCCTCTATCCCAACCCAGCCCCCTGTTGTCCCAGCCTCAGTCCAGTCCACTCTGCTCTGCCCACATCCCTCAATCCTGACCTGCAGCCCCGTTGTCCCAGCCTCGGTCCGCTCCGCTCTGCCCATGTCCCTCAAGCCTGACCCACAGCCCCTGCTGTTCCAGCCCAGCTGATGCCCCTCAGTCCCATCCCACATTCTCTCCCCACCTTTCAAGTTTATTTTAAGAGGCGGCTACAAAAGCTCTGCAGCATTTGATGGCTACAAAGGGCTCTTGGGGCTTCAGGTTTGAGGCGAGTCAGGCATGAGGAATGTGTGTGCATCGTGACCCCGATGTCAGCAGCCGCCCTGCTCCATGCCTGGATCAATCGCCTGCATGAGTCACTGAGCAGGGAAAGTAGGACGCGGGCAACTCCTGGCACAATTGTCCCCCCGACTGGGGGTGGGCAGCCCCTGCACATGGAGCCTGACAGGGAACTAGGATCAGGGCGCTGGGCATATGCCAGCCACACACACAGCAAGGGCCCCAGTCCTGAGGCTGTGGAAGGAGGGACAGCTCTCCCCAGGGGGAGACACATTGAAACCAACTGGGGACCCTGGTAGCCCCCAGTGTTCCTGTCCCCAAAGTCCGGCAGAGATGGAGTTAATGCACACCTGAGAGTCAGGACTCCTGGGTTCTCTCCCACACACTGCTGTGTGATCCTGTCTCTCTTTCTCAGGGACTGTCCTGACCCCTTCACCACAGTACTGGAGCACCTCGCAATCCAGAACGGGTTGATCCCAACACCCTCATGTGACAGGGCAGGGCCGTGACGGGTGTGTCACAGATGGGGACTGAGGCTCAGTGACTGGCCCAAGGTCACACAGGCAGTCTGTGGCAGAGCCGGGAACTGAACCCAGGGCTCCAGTCCTAGACTTGTGTCTGGTGTGGGATATTCTCCCCCACCCCTGGGCACCGGGGTTGCCCGAGTGTCCCAGCCCTGGGAAATTTGCTGCCTGGCAGGACCCAGGTGATGGGTGAGTAACTGCACAACTTTAATCTGCAAAGTTGGCAAAACCAGTCATTAGTGACAGCCATATCTAAGGGACCTGTCGGCCCCGATCCTCGCAGGCCCCTCCTGGACTCTGATTTCCCCCTGGCATCCTGGCCAAATCCCCCATTCCCAACCCTAGACATGGCTGCATCTCAGCACCAGGCAAGGGATCCCTGTATAAATAGCCCCCACGTCCCTCCCCAGAGGTGGCTGCATTTTAGCCCTGGGTGAGGGATCCCTGTATAAACCGCACCCAGGACCCACCCCAGAGGTGGCTGCATCTTAGCACCAGGTGAGGGATCCCTGTATAAATAGCCCCTGCGCCCCACCTGAGAGACAGATGAATCTTAGCACCAGGCAAGGGAGCCCTTTATAAACAGCCCCTGTGCCCTAACCTGGAGACGGCTGTGTCTCAGCACTGGGCACGGGATTTCACTACGTTGGATGCGTAGAGTTGCTGGGGAACAGCTGCATCCCCCTCCAAGTGCTCCTACCACTCCCTGGTAATGAGGCATCGTGGATGGGAAATGGCAGGGTGTTTTCCATGGAGACCTGCTGGGGGGAGGAGCAGGATCTGGCTGGGCTGCGGTAACCAAGGGCCTTTCACAGCAAAGGCAGAGGGGCTGGGGGAGCCGGAGCGGGGGAGGCTGCATTGAGCTGGCACAGCTGGTGTGTTCCCAGCTCCCAGTTGAACCCTTTCAGCCTGAGGGGAGCCTGTTACTAACAGCATGTGAGGCTACTCCTCTGCCTCCACAAATGCGGCCACCTCTGGGGCAGAGCATGTCAGCCAGGGAACTGCCACGCAGTAACATTGCAGAGGACAGCCGATCCTGCTCTGGGGGAGGCAGAACTAGTTCACCTGCGCACCGAACCATGTCTGGGAGGAAAGGACCCACTACCCAGCCCCCTGCAGCACAGCCCCCAAGTGCTGCCCTGGGGCAATGGGGCGAGCCCTGACTGCCAGGGGAGAGCCCCTGCTGCCCCCCACCCCACTCCCTGTAGCACAGGCCCATAGCACCACCGTGAGGCCAGCACTGACTGAGAGGCGAGAGTGTCCTCTGATGAATCACCTTAACCCCCAACACTCCCACTGAGCCCCCCACCCATGGGTTCATACCCCCAACACCTCCACTGAGCCCCCCATCCATGGGTTCATACCCTCAACAACCCCACTGAGCCCACCCCACCCATGGGATCATACCCTCAATACCCCCTGACCTCCCCACCCAAGGGATCATACCCCGAACACCCTAGGGTGACCAGATGAAACAGACAAAATATCGGGACACATGGGGGAAGCAACAAAAAAAAAAAAAAAAAAACCCGCCAGAGCGACCAAAGCGGCAATATCAGGACAAATGGCGTCCCGACTGTGCATTGGTCGGGACGCGGGACAAAGAACTAAAAATCAGGACAGTCTGGTCACCCTAGAATACCCCCACTGAGGCTCCCACCCATGGGATCATACCCCCAACACCTCCACTGAGCCACCCACCCACAGGATCATACCCCCACTAAGCCCTCCCACCCATGGGATCACACCCCAACAACCCCACTGAGCCCCCCACCCATAGGTGCATACCCCCAACATCTCCACTGAGCCCCCCTGGGAGTACACCCCCTCCGCACATGCCCAGCCCCCAGAATACACACCAACCCTGAGAGCCTCCAGCCTGGGGATCATATCCTTTCCCTGATTCTCACCCCTGCCAATATGACCTGATGCAATTCTGCCTTCTCTCATACCCCCCACTTCCCTGGCCTCCCAGCCTGAGTATTAATGCGCTGACCTGTCCCACTCTCCTTACTGCAGTGCTGGGGAAGGTGTGGCGCCTCGGCCCCTGGGCGTCAGCTGCTGGGGGTGAGGACAGGTTGTGTGGAGTCTGGCCTGGGGATGAAGCCAGCTGGCCTGACCAGAACTAGGCTGAGTCCCCCTCAAACTTGTAACCCATGTAGTGGGGAGCAGGCAGGGGTGGTGCTCGCACCCAGCTGGCCAGTGACGGAGGTGAAAGGGGGCAGGTTCAGGGTGTTTTATCTGTTCCTCTAGTAGGTTACAGTGCTGGGGCGTCAGGCCTGCGGGATTCTATCCCTCGCTCTGGAAGGGCAGTGGGGTGGGCTGGGAGGCATGTTGGGGGTGTCTGTGCACCTTGGGGGGTCACAATGCAGGTCTCTGTGTGGTGCTGGGAGTAAGCAAAGTTGGGGCACTGGGATCTCTCTGTCTCCGCATGGTGCTTGTGATCCTGCGCATACCATGAGACTCCTGCACCTCCATCAGCGATATCGTGGCCACAGATACCGAGCCGAATTGGGGGGCTCCCCCACTTCCCACCAGCGCCTGCTTCTCTGAGTATGGGGGGTGAGGCCCTAGCCAAACTCCCATCACCACCTCTGGGAACACTCTCTGCTGTCTGGTGACCTCATACAAGAGGGGAAGCCACGTGCAGCTATAGAGCATGGAGTGAACCCAGGCACCTTGATTGCCAGTCTCCCCCCCACCCCCGAATTCAAGAGGCCTGGCTGCCAGACTCCCATATGGACGGGGGGATGTCTCTGCTTTAATGCTGGCAGAAGATCTGCTGCCCCCAGCCATGCAGCTTGCTCCCAGTATCTGGGTTTCCAAGGCTGCGGAGTGGGCTCATCCTTTCCCCCAGTCAGTGACCTGCATTGGGGCTGGATTGGAGCCAGTGCCCCCTAGAGGGGACAGGCCCCGGTCCCCATTCCCCACCCCCTGAGCCAGCCAGTTCCTGCTCTGGGTTTGGATTGGAGCTGGCACCCAGTAGAGGGGACAGGCCCCGTGCCCCATTCCCCACCGTCTGAGCCAGCCAGTCCCCTCACCTGGGGCCAGATGGGAACCAGCGCCTCCTAGAGGGGAAAGGCCCCGTGCCCCACTCCCCGCCACCTGAGCCAGCCAGTCCCTGCCCTGAGGCTGGATCAGAGCTGGCATAGCCTGCAGGGCAGAGGCCCTGTGTCCCAGTCCTTGATCTGGGTGTAGTGCTGAGTAGGATGGTGGGGTTCCTTCAGGGTCTTGGTCGTGACCCTTGCAGGGTGGGCAGGGCTGGGGCACCCTGTGGTGGAATTCCGACCCCCCCACATAGTAACCAGATCTCTCCCTAACACTGTTTTCAGAACACCACGTGAGCCGCTCCCGGAGGAAGAGTGTCCCTGCAGGGAAGCAATACAGCATCAACATGGACGCGCCCCCGGCACCCCCATTCCGGCCCTCGGTGAGAGACCTCCCCTGCCCTGACACACACGGAGACGTGCAGCTACCCTCACACTGACACGTGGACCCAGGCTCTTCTACTCACTGATTCACACCCCCCAGGCTCTCTCTCTCTTTCTCACACACACACACACACACACACACACTTTCTCTCTCTCTCTCTCTCTCTGCCCCCTGTCACGGAGTCCCTGGGCGATGCTCTGGAACTGCTCCCTACGAAGCCAGTCAGGACTCTGGGGAAGTCTCTTTTCTGTGAGCAGCCTGTCTGCAGGACACACAGCTCACACAGCTTCCACCTTCTTGGGTCTGACCTCGGAGCATTCAGCATCCTCTCTGGCCCTCCGTGCGCTTCCCACAGCGAGTCCGCCCAGGCGGGGTCCTGGGGAAGCCAGAGGGTCCTGCCCCCCAACTCCACAGTCAGACGTGACTCTCAGCCAGCCAGTAAAACAGAAGGTTTATTAGACGACAGGAACATGGTCTAACACAGAGCTTGTAGGTGCAGAGAACAGGACCCCTCAGCTGGGTCCATTTTGGGGGGCAGTGAGCCAGACAACCCTGTCTGCCCTTCACTCCATGTCCCCAGCCAGCCCCAAACTGAAACTCCCCCCAGCCCCTCCTCCTCTGGGCTTTGTCCCTTTCCCAGGCCAGGAGGTCACCTGATTCCATTTTTCTCCAACCCTTTAGCTCTCACCTTGCAGGGGGGAAAGGCCCAGGCCATCAGTTGCCAGGAAACAGGGTGTTGGCCATTCTCTGTATCCAGACCCTTGCACACACCTGCCCTCTAGGGCTCTGCAATGATCATACACCCTTATCCCACCCCCTAGATACTTAAGAACTGCATAGGGGAAACTGAGGCACCCCCACACTATTCAGAAGAAACATTAAGAACAGTCCCACTTTGTCACACCCCCATCTCTGCAGATCTGTCCTGTGCACCTCATGCCCTGCCCTTGTGTCACGGAGTCCCTGGGCGATGCTCTGGAACTGCTCCCCATGAAGCCAGTCAGGACTCTGGGGCAGTCGCCTTTCTGTGAGCAGCCTGTCTTCAGGACACGCAGCTCACACAGGTTCCACCTTCCTGGGTCTGACCTCGGAGCATTCAGCATCCTCTGCCCCTCCGTGCGCTTTCCCCCAGCGAGTCCGCTCAGGCGGGGCTCCTGGGGAAGCCAGAGGGTCCTGCACCCCAACTTCGCAGTCAGACGTGACTCTCAGCCAGCCAGTAAAACAGAAGGTTTATTAGACGACAGGAACATGGTCTAAAACAGAGCTTGCAGGTGCAGAGAACGGGACCCCTCAGCTGGGTCCATTCTGGGGGGCAGTGAGCCAGACAACCACGTCTGCACTTCACTCCATGTCCCAGCCAGCCCCAAACTGAAAACCCCCTCCAGCCCCTCCTCCTCTGGGCTTTGTTCCTTTCCCGGGCCAGGTGGTCACCTGATTCCTTTGTTCTCCAACCCTTCAGCTCTCACCTTGCAGGGGGGAAGGGCCCAGGCCATCAGTTGCCAGGAAACAGGGTGTTGGCCATTCTCTGTGTCCAGACTCCTGCACACACCTGCCCTCTAGGGCTCTGCAATGATCATACACACTTACCCCACCCCCTAGATACTTAAGAACTGCCTAGGGGAAACTGAGGCACCCCCACACTATTCAGAGGAAACATTAAGAACAGTCCCACTTCGTCACATCTCTCCCCCCTTCGAGATCGAACTGAGCGGGGTCACTTTAGCCGGTGACCTGGGGAAGTTCGAAGCCACCAACGTTCCCATGGATGCCCCAGCATCTCTCCCATTCCTTGGTAGGAGTTACACCAGGCCCTTCCATTTTCACACCCTCCCTTAGGTCAGGGGTGGTCGATAGCACTCGCAGGCCGCATGTGGGAAGGTTTATGCAGCCCATGCCCTTTGGCCACCCCAAGAATGTCTCCCCATTGACCATCACCTTCTGCTCCCACTGGAGGTCCGAGGGGCCTGGCCCCAGGAAACTCCACACAGACATATAGGTTGGGGTCAGGAGTGGGAGCCTGTCCACATCCCCAACCATCTGGCTGACGGAGTCTATGGCCTTGGGACCCAGCAAGGGAGCTAAACACCGGGGCTTTTCCGCAGGGTCCCCCCGGTTCAAATCGTCAGCCTGCTCAAAGGCAGTGAGGTGGGCATCCACACACCCCCCCTCCTTAACCAGGGGCAGCAATTTAGTCTCGAGGTTCCCTGCGGAACTGGCCCCCCGGGATCTATCCCCACTCACCCCGGGGAGGTCCCCTGGGCCTCTCCGCTCCCCCACCGCCAGTTCATGCTGCTGCTGCTTCTGCAGCTCTTTCTCGGGCTCTCGCTGTCTCCCACAGTCCTCTTGCTCTCTCAGACTCAGCTCCAATCCCGTCCGTCTCGATCCCCCGATGGGGAACCCGATCGTGAAGACCCCCGTCTGGTCGGGGACAGGAGTCTTGGCGATGCCTGGCTCCCGCTCCAGCTGCTCCCAGATCCTGCTATAGCCCCATTTGGGGTCAGGAATCTGTTCCTTAGAGCGGTCATCCTCCTCCAGCTGCACGATTAACTCTGCTTTGGTGAACTTTCCAACGCTCAACCCTCTCTTTTTGCACAGGGTTACACTGTCCTTCTTAAGGAGACGGGGACAGGCCATCACTCCGCTCTCCCAAGTTGTTGTGGACTCACAGGCCCGTGTGTTCTCAGCTCCCCACGGTTTCCAGGGAGAACCCCTAGTGTGCCAGCCCTTCTCGAGGTCACCACCTCTTTGCCAGGGTCGAGCTGCAGACTCCTCCGCCCCTGAGACTGCTCGCTGCAGTCCCCAGGGGAACCCTGTTACTGCAAAAGTCCTTCTCTATGGTCACACACTCCTAGGGGTTAACCGCCCCCCGAAACCGATCCTCTCTGAGCCTTCAGCAGGCCTGGTCCTCGGCAATCCCCCTTCGTGTTACTGCTCCCCAGTCACTTACTGCAGGAAGCGCCATCCACGGGGTGCAGTACATCCCACCGCTGCCACCAGTTGTCACGGAGTCCCTGGGCGATGCTCTGGAACTGCTCCCCATGAAGCCAGTCAGGACTCTGGGGCAGTCGCCTTTCTGTGAGCAGCCTGTCTTCAGGACACGCAGCTCACACAGGTTCCACCTTCCTGGGTCTGACCTCGGAGCATTCAGCATCCTCTGCCCCTCCGTGCGCTTCCCACAGCGAGTCCGCTCAGGCGGGGCTCCTGGGGAAGCCAGAGGGTCCTGCACCCCAACTTCGCAGTCAGACGTGACTCTCAGCCAGCCAGTAAAACAGAAGGTTTATTAGACGACAGGAACATGGTCTAAAACAGAGCTTGCAGGTGCAGAGAACGGGACCCCTCAGCTGGGTCCATTCTGGGGGGCAGTGAGCCAGACAACCACGTCTGCACTTCACTCCATGTCCCAGCCAGCCCCAAACTGAAAACCCCCTCCAGCCCCTCCTCCTCTGGGCTTTGTTCCTTTCCCGGGCCAGGTGGTCACCTGATTCCTTTGTTCTCCAACCCTTCAGCTCTCACCTTGCAGGGGGGGAAGGGCCCAGGCCATCAGTTGCCAGGAAACAGGGTGTTGGCCATTCTCTGTGTCCAGACTCCTGCACACACCTGCCCTCTAGGGCTCTGCAATGATCATACACACTTACCCCACCCCCTAGATACTTAAGAACTGCCTAGGGGAAACTGAGGCACCCCCACACTATTCAGAGGAAACATTAAGAACAGTCCCACTTCGTCACACCTTGTGCCTGCTCTGCCCATACAACTGTGTGATGTGGTGCGGTACTGGGCTGTTGGGCTGGGTTGTGCCTTGCTAGGAGGGGGAACCAGGCCTGCAGGACAGTGGGAGGGGGTAAAACAGGGGAGTATCCTGAACTTCGTGAATCAACCCAGGTGCCTGGGTTCTCTGAGAGGGTAGCGAAGTCAAGTGGTTAGAGACGGGGAGCTCTCACTCCCCTCCCAGAGCCGGGGATAGAACCCTTGAGTCCTGGCTCCTGCTCCCACTCCCCCCGACAACCCACCAGCCCACACTCCCTTCCCAGAGTTGGCACTAAAACCCAGGAGTCCTGGCTCCCTCAATGCCCCCTCCCCATCTCACTCTGTCTATCCCCTACCCACAGCAGGGCTTCCTGAGCCGGCGTTTGAAGAGCTCCATCAAACGGACAAAGAGCCAGCCCAAACTGGACCGGACCAGCAGCTTCCGCCAGATCCTCCCACGGTTCCGGAGTGCCGACCATGACAGGTGAGAGAGCCCCCCCACCGGTCCATATCCCACCTCATGGCAGTGCTGCAGAGAGCAGCACGGGGCTTCAAGGGACAGACCCTGCCCAGCACTACCAGGGATCACTGCCCTGGTCGGGGCCCCCAGTTCCAGGCACACACAGGGTCAACTCTCTCTTTCTTCCCCATGGGGACAGCTGCCCCACACCAGAGGCAGTTGCATCTCGAGGGATCCCTTGTATTAACAGTACCTGCAACCCACCTTGATAGCAGGCAAGCAGCTGTGGGGCTTCCTTGATACAATTTTGTTATGACCTCAGGTGACAGGAGGAGGTTGCATGGTGGGGATTGTCCCCTCCAGTCCGTTCTCGGGGTGCCCTGTCGCACCCCCTCCCACCTGGAGTTGCTTGTGTCACTTTCAGAGGTGTGCTCTCCATGTGGGGGTTATGCAAGACTGGGAAAGGGAGAGTTGGAGGGAAGGAAGGTGTGGGGGAAGGAAAAAGAGGAGGGGGCATTGCAGACGGGAAGCAGCCAAGGATGGGAAGGAAGCTGGGGGAAGCAGAGGGAGGAGGGCAAGGAGGAAAGAGAGCAGTGGGAGGCAACTGGGCATTGGGGGGAGTGGGGCATGGGGGATGAGGCAGCCAGTGGAGGGAATGAGGGAGCTGGGAGGGAAGAGACACTCAGTGGAGGGAATGGTGAGGGGAGGGGTTGAGGGAGGTAACCAGTGGGGGGAAGTGCGGGGGGAAGCAGCCGGTGGGGGGAAGGAAAGGGGGGGTAGCCAGTAGGGGAGATGGGGGTTGGGGGAGGCAGCCTGTGGAAGGGGGGGAATGGGAATGGGGGTGGGGGGAGGCAGCCAGCTGGGGAAGTGGGGCTGGCAGGCAGAAGCGGTGCTGCTGGGTGCCGGGAGCTGTTTATAGCCGGAGATGGTGGGTGGGAGCCAGGAGCAGAAGCCGGATCCAGCTTGGCAGAGATCCCAGCCCTGGCCCGACTTGTCCTCTCTGCCTCCCTGGATGCCAGAGCCTGGCCTGGCCCCCCCCACTCCCAGCCCAGGTCCCTGCCCTGCCCGGTGAGTCCTTGCTGGCCCAGTAGGGAGAGCAGGGAGCCAGGAAGGCACAAGCAGGGGGGGCACAGACACCTGCCCGAGTGGGTGTGAGGACATGGGGGGACCCCGGGTGCATGTGTATGTGGTTCATGCATGTCAGTGTGTGTGCGCATTTGTGACATACTTGTGTGTGTGTGAGAAGTTAAAGCCATGCCAAACTTTTGCTGCATAAGGAGCTTAGTGACTCAGGATTGTGAGATTTCCATGTCAGGATCCAGCAAGATTGACCACAGGGGTGGGAAGAAAGTAACCCCCCCAACGCACACACACACACACACATGCGTGCACACATGCACACACTCACAAATGTGCGCACATGCACACGTGCATGCACACGCTCATGCACACAGGCACACACCTGCGTGCGCACTTACACGTTTGTGCACACACATGAACATATACGTACACATGCTCGTGCACGCATATAAACATGCACACACACATGCACACATGTGTGCACATGCATGTACACACTCATACACTCCTAAATGCTGGTTTGTAGAAGCTCTGCTCTAGGCATTAGGTGGGGCAAGTCTCTGGCCTGCACAATACCGGGACGGGGGCATATGTCACTGGATGATCACGATGTTCCCTTCTTGTCGTAAAACTTCTGCATCTTCCATAGCTGGGCGCAGCCCAAGCATGGCTGGCTGGGAACAAACCTAGGTGGGAGGGCTCCCAGAGAAAGGAAGTGGGGTGGAGATTGGGTGGGGCCTGCTCTGCCTGTGCCCCCGTATAGCATTAGAGGGTGCTATGCTGAAGGGGGTGGGGGCACTCCCTTCAGCATCAGGGCTGGTCCCAGTGCCCAGGTGGGGATGCTGTGCTCCAAGGAAGGGAAGGAAACACATGGGGCATGCACCCCAGTGTCCTGGCCACATTCGGGCACCAAAGAGTCCCTGGAGCCTCACTGGGGTATTGGTTGGGTACAAGGTTCTCCTGCCCATCCAGTCTCACGCTCCTGGCCTGTTTGTATAGTCCTGTCGCCCCAGCCCAGAGGTGGCTGCATCTCAGTATTTGTGTGACTTATAACGTCTATAGGACTGTGCAGGCTCTCTGTGTATAGGAGGGGCAGGCATGTGGATAGAGGCTGTATGGGGACATGGGGCAAAGTGGGGAGTGTCTGTGTTATTCCCCCCCCTTTGTAGACACAGCTGGGATTGGTATCTGGACTCCTGGCTCCGCCCCAGGTTTGGGATTCCCCCACCCTTATCCTTTCTCCATAGCCCAGTTGCCTCCTGTCTGGCTCTCCCGCAGTGTCCTCAGAAGCCCCCCAACCCCGCTTGGGCTCCTCCCTCACATCCCCTGCCCCTCCCCAGCCTGGGCTTTTCCCTTTTCTACTCTCTGGTTCTTCTGCCCCCAGCCCAGGCTTCCCCTTCCTTGCAAACCTGCCTCTCCCCCCAGCCTGTACTCCCTGCCTGCCCCCCAGGCTCCTCCACTTAAAACTGGGTTTTCCCCCTTTCCTGTCCCCTGGGCCTACTCCAGGGCTCCCCTCCCCGGGCCCCTGCTCTGCCTGGCACCCCAGGCCCACTGCCGGCAATTCCCTGCCTGGCCGGGTGAGTATTTTTAGCAGCGCCCGCCCCCACTCTGCTCCAATGACGGCAGAGCCGAGCCCAGCCGAGCTCTGAGTCGCTGCCTCCCGGAGACGCAGGGGCCTCTCTGCTTACGCAGCCCAGTCGCTAAAAATAACCCGCTGGGGCGGCCACTCACCTGCCCCAGCTGGGGGCTGCCTTGTGTGTTCTGCCAGCATGGGGCATCCTTAGGGGCTGGAAACCAGGACTCCTGGGTTCTATCCCTGGCTTGAGGGATGGGGGAGGTGCTAATGAGTTTAGGGGGCTGGAAACCAGGACTCCTGGGTTCTGTCTCTGGCATGGAGGATCGGGGGGTTGGGGTCTAGTGGGTTGAGGGGGCTGGGAGCCAGGACTCCTGGGTCCCATCCCCTTCTCAGGGAGGGCTGTGGGGTTTAGCAGATTGGGTTGGATTCTATCCCCAGCTGGGATGGGGGAGAGGTTGGAGTCTAGTGGGTTTGTGGTGGGGTTTGGGAACCAGGATGCCTGGGTTCTATACCCAGCTCAAGGAGGGGCATGGGGTTTGGTGGATTTGGGTGGAGGACGACTGGAAGCCAGGACTCCTGTGTCCTCTCCCCAGCTCTGGAAGGGTTTGGGGGTGGGTGGGAGGCAGGACTCCTGGATTTTATCCCCAGCTTGAGGAGGGATGTGGGGTTTAGTGGATTTTGTGGGGTTGGGGGGGGTGAGCCAGGACTCCTGTGTTCTCTCCCCAGCTCAGGGAGGCTGTGGGGTTTAGAGGGCTTGGGGCTGGGAGCCAGGACTCCTAGGTTCTATCTTTGGCTTTTGCCAGAGATTAGAGTGATTTTTGGAGGGGAGGAGGGTAAATCCCTTCCCCCTCTGTGTCTCAGTTTCCCGCTCTGTAACAGGGGGGTAATGGTGTTGACCCTCTGTCCCCCATTCTAATGTGGCCTGGTGTCTATGAAAATGCCATGTGATTTACCTGTGGGTCACAGCCTCCCAGGGGGATCCCCAGGGGCCCTGCGTGGGGCCCCCCTCCCCACTCAGTTAATTTGTGCATGTCTCTGACTCTTTCTCTCTCTCTCTCTCTCTCTCTTGTTCTGCGGTCCAGACCCCCCGGCAGTGCAGAATTGTCTATAGGGGCCCCTCCCATGGCCAGCTGCTGAATCCCCCAGGTACCCCCCGTCCCGGGCACCAGCTGTCTGTGTGGTCTCACCAGTGCCATGGCCACAGCTAGGGCATGTTCTGCACACCCCCCGGGAGGCTCTAGGACCCCCTGCCCCATAGCTTGGCTGCCCACACGCCCCCCCTTAGCAGCTCCAGAGCCCATGTCTCAGTTGTCTTCCCCTTCCTCTCCCATGCTTGTGTCATGGCACCAGATTCACTGTGTTTGACTCCCCTGCACTGGACTCACTCCAATGACACGAGACACGGGGCCCCCCAAGTCCCCCCGTCTCACCGGCTCCCCTCCCCTGCAGAGCCCGCCTCATGCAGAGCTTCAAGGAGTCGCACTCCCACGAGTCCCTGCTGAGCCCCAGCAGCGCGGCTGAGGCCCTGGAGCTCAACCTGGACGAGGACTCCGTCATCAAACCTGTGCACAGCAGCATCCTGGGCCAGGAGTTTTGCTTCGAGGTACGGCAGCCAGCCCAGGGCACTCGCGCCTCTGGGGTAGAGCAGGGAGCTGGGATAGGACTCCTGGGTTCCGTCCCCAGCACTGGGAGGGGAGCGCGGGCTCGTGGGGTAGAGCAGGGAGCTGGGAGCCAGGACTCCTGGGTTCCGTCCCCAGCACTGGGAGGGGAGTATGGCTGGGCACCCCGGTCAGGGAGTGTGGAAGGTACATGTGGCCCTGCTCAGCTGCTCCTCATTCTCTCTTCCTCAGGTCACCACTGCGTCTGGCACCAAGTGCTTTGCTTGCCGCTCAGCCGCAGAGCGCGACAAGTGGATCGAGAACCTGCAGCGAGCCGTGAAACCCAACAAGGTGCTGTAGTGGAGGGAAGCTGGGGGGGAGGGGAGCCCCAGGGGAAAGAGGGTGGATACTGGCTACAGGAGAGCTAAAGGGCAGGAGGCTGGGTCCAGCTCCCCACAGCTGTGCACACGTGTCTCCACATGTTCGCTTGCTGCTCTACTCCTCAGGAGTTGTCCCCCTGCCCGGAGTTACTGTTACAGCCCCAATTTACCCCAGAGCACACGCAGTGCCCCATAGCACCGACCCACCTGCCTGTTCCCGATCCTACACCCCACAGCACCGACCCCTACTTACATCCTCATCCCCCTGCCTCTGCCCTGTAGCACCGACCCACCTGCCTGTTCCCGATCCTAGACCCCACAGCACCGACCCCTACTTACATCCTCATCCCCCTGCCTCTGCCCTGTAGCACCGACCCACCTGCCTGGTCCCGATCCTACACCCCACAGCACCGACCCCTACTTACATCCTCATCCCCCTGCCTCTGCCCTGTAGCACCGACCCACCTGCCTGTTCCCGTTCCTACACCCCACAGCACCGACCCCTACTTACATCCTCATCCCCCTGCCTCTGCCCTGTAGCACCGACCCACCTGCCTGGTCCCGTTCCTACACCCCACAGCACCGACCCCTACTTACATCCTCATCCCCCTGCCTCTGCCCTGTAGCACCGACCCACCTGCCTGGTCCCGATCCTACACCCCACAGCACCGACCCCTACTTACATCCTCATCCCCCTGCCTCTGCCCTGTAGCACCGACCCACCTGCCTGGTCCCGTTCCTACACCCCACAGCACCGACCCCTACTTACATCCTCATCCCCCTGCCTCTGCCCTGTAGCACCGACCCACCTGCCTGTTCCCGATCCTAGACCCCACAGCACCGACCCCTACTTACATCCTCATCCCCCTGCCTCTGCCCTGTAGCACCGACCCACCTGCCTGGTCCCGATCCTACACCCCACAGCACCGACCCCTACTTACATCCTCATCCCCCTGCCTCTGCCCTGTAGCACCGACCCACCTGCCTGTTCCCGTTCCTACACCCCACAGCACCGACCCCTACTTACATCCTCATCCCCCTGCCTCTGCCCTGTAGCACCAACCCACCTGCCTGTTCCCGTTCCTAGACCCCACAGCACCGACCCCTACTTACATCCTCATCCCCCTGCCTCTGCCCTGTAGCACCGACCCACCTGCCTGTTCCCGTTCCTACACCCCACAGCACCGACCCCTACTTACATCCTCACCCCCCTGCCTCTGCCCTGTAGCACCGACCCACCTGCCTGTTCCCGATCCTAGACCCCACAGCACCGACCCCTACTTACATCCTCATCCCCCTGCCTCTGCCCTGTAGCACCGACCCACCTGCCTGGTCCCGTTCCTAGACCCCACAGCACCGACCCCTACTTACATCCTCATCCCCCTGCCTCTGCCCTGTAGCACTGACCCACCTGCCTGGTCCCATTCCTGTCACCGACCCCTGCCTGTGCCCCATAGCCCTGTCCCTCCTAATTGTCCCCGTTCCTACACCCATAGCACTGACCCCTGCCTACATCCTAATCCCCCTGCCTGTGCCCCATAGCCCTGACCCACCTGCCTGTCCCCATTCCTAAACCCCACAGCCCCGACCCCTACCTACATCCTGATCCCCCTGCCTACACCCCATAGCCCCGACCCACCTGCTGTCCCCGATCCTACACCCCATAGCACCGACCCCTGCCTACATCTTCATCCCCACAACTTGCCTGCGCCCGATCTCCCTGTGCTCCATAGCAATGACCCCCGTCTAACTCCCTGTGCCTCCCCAGGATAACAGCCAGTTTTCCCGCCGCCACCCCCGTCAAACCCTCTGTGCCTCCCTAGGACAACAGCCAGCCCCCAAGTCTAACCCCCTGTGCCTCCCCAGAATAACAGCCCCCCAAACCCCTGTGCCTGCCCAGGATAACAGCCCCCCTAATTCCCTGTGCCCCCCCAGGATAACAGCCCCCCCATCCCCTGTTCCTCCCCAGGATAACAGCCAGTCTTCCCCACCCCCAGCACCGTCAAACCCTCTGTGCCTCCCTAGGACAACAGCCAGCCCCCAAATCTAACCCCCTGTGCCTCCCCAGGATAACAGCCCCCCCAACCCCTGTTCCTCCCCAAGATAACAGCCAGTCTCTCCCCTGCTTCTGCCCCTAATACCCTGTTCCTCCCCAGGATAACAGCCAGTCTCTCCCTCGCTTCCCCCCCAACCCCCTGTGCCTCCCCAGGATAACAGCCGGCGTGTGGACAATGTGCTGAAGCTGTGGATCATCGAGGCGCGGGAGCTGCCACCCAAGAAGCGCTATTACTGTGAGCTGTGCCTGGACGACATGCTCTATGCCCGCACCACCAGCAAGATGCGCACAGACAATGTCTTCTGGGGCGAGCACTTCGAGTTCAACAACCTGCCGGCCGTGCGCACCATCCGCCTGCATGTCTACAAGGACACGGACAAGAAACGCAAGAAGGACAAGAGCAACTATGTGGGCATGGTCAGCATCCCCATCGCCAGCGTCACCGGGCGCCACTTCGCCGAGCAGTGGTACCCGCTCAGCCAGCCCAGCACCAGCAAGAGCAAGGCCGGCTGCCCCGCCGTGCGCGTCAAGAGCCGTTTCCAGACCATGAGCATCCTCCCCATGGAGCTGTACAAGGAGTTTGCTGAGTACGTGACCAACAACTACCGCATGCTGTGCGCTGTGCTGGAGCCGGTCCTGAGCGTCAAGAGCAAGGAGGAAGTGGCCTGTGCGCTGGTGCACATCCTGCAGAGCACTGGCAAAGCCAAGGTACTGGGGGAGTGGCAGGGATGGGGGAAGAGTGGGAGGACAAAGTGCCCTCTGAATTGTCTGCATCTCGGGTCCTTCTGGGCATGGGGTGGGGAGCTCTGGGGTGTTGGGTCTCCTCACTCACTCCCCTGCCCGGGCCTAACCCCTGCAGGATTTCCTCTCGGACATGGCCATGACGGAAGTGGATCGGTTCATGGACCGGGAGCACCTGATATTCCGGGAGAACACCCTGGCCACGAAAGCCATAGAGGAGTATCTGAAACTCATTGGTCAGAAATACCTCAAGGACGCCATTGGTGAGTGAGGGAGGGGGAGGGGTTTGCTTGCACTCGCAGGTGTGGGTGCGCACAGTCTGGGTCCTGTGCGTGTACCCTGCTCCCTGGGAGGCACATGGATCTGTGCACTGTGCCTGCAGGGGTCTGTATGCCCAGAGGGTGGGATCTGTGCTCTGGGGTTTAGGGGCGTTAGAGCTGCACCTAGCCTGGTGATGGGATGTGATCCCCAACCGAACAGCTGGTCCTGGCACTGGGATATGCCTAAGCTGGCATCTCACTCCATCTGGTCTCTGGAGAGGCTGGTGGAGCACCCGTCCCCAGCTTCAGGCCCCTGATGGATAGGACGGGGTGTGCAGGGTGGTAGGAGCTGGTTCTTGGGGCAGTGTCCAGCCTGGCACCCCCCTCCCTGCCCCACTAGCTCTCTGCCCCCCTCCTGCAGGCGAGTTCATCCGGGCGCTCTACGAGTCAGAGGAGAACTGTGAGGTCGACCCCATGAAATGCTCCTCATCCACCCTGCCTGACCACCAGGCCAACCTGCGTATGTGTTGTGAGCTGGCGCTCTGCAAGGTCGTCAATTCGCACTGGTGGGTGCCAGCTGGTGGGGGATGGGGGCATGTCCAGGGGCAGGGAGTGAGCAGGTGCTGTGCAAGGTTAGCTGTACAATTGTGCAGCATGGTGTGGAGGGATTTGAGGGCATGGGTGGAGGCAGGAGGTGGGGGGCCAGGAGAGGGAGGAGGTGGTGAGCTGCACAGAGGGCACTGAGAGTTCAGGGAGGAGCTGAGGAAGGTCTGTGCCCTATGGCGAGGTGTATGGGGGACTCTGGAGCTCACCGATGTCCCTGCCACCCTTGCACTCTGTTCCCATGGGAGCTGAAGGCCATCGGTGCCCTGTGGTCGGGGGCTCAGGGCTGTGTGTAGGTCATTGATGGTCCCTCTGCCCTCCCCACAGCGTGATTCCATGGGAGCGGAAGGAGGTCTATGATCTGTGGGGGGACGCACGGGCTCTGGGGGGGTGGGCACATGGGCTTTGGGGGTATATGGGCTCAAGAGGCCTGGGGGTCACTGATGGCCCCTCTGCCCTCCCCACAGCGTGTTCCCACGGGAGCTGAAGGAGGTGTTTGCCTCGTGGCGGCTGCGCTGCGCGGAGAGAGGCCGCGAGGACATCGCTGACCGGCTGATCAGTGCCTCGCTCTTCTTGCGCTTCCTGTGCCCAGCTGTCATGTCGCCCAGCCTCTTCGGGCTCATGCAGGAGTACCCAGACGAGCAGACGTCCCGCACGCTGACCCTCATCGCCAAAGTCATCCAGAACCTGGCCAACTTCAGCAAGTGAGAGATGCACGATGGGCCAGGGCATCAGGGTGGGACATCACGGGTGTGAGGAATGTTTTTCTGGGGGTCCTTAGGGTGCTACACCCTGCTGACTCAAGCCCCCCTTGCCCTTGGCAGGTTTCAGCTGCACAGAGGAGTATGTATCATTCAGAGTGAGTTCCTGGAGAGGCCGCATAGTATGGGGCTGTATGTAGGGGGTGCTATACCCCTCTGCCCCCTGGCAGGGTCAGCAGCAAGGAGTACATGGCGTTCATGAACGAGTTCCTGGGTGGGAGTGGGCCAGCATGGGATGGGGCCTGGGTGTTGTATGGGGCTGTGGGGGGGGGTGCTGTACCCCACTGACCTCCCCCAATCCCATGCCAGGTTCGGCAGCAAGGAGGAGTACATGGCGTTCATGAACGAGTTTCTGGAGCTGGAGTGGGCCAGCATGCAGCAGTTCCTCTATGAGATCTCAAACCTCGACACCCTAACCAACAGCAGCAGCTTTGAGGGCTACATCGACCTGGGCCGCGAGCTCTCCACGCTGCATGCTTTGCTCTGGGAGGTCATGCCCCAGCTCAGCAAGGTACACAGACCTTGGATATGGGGCTGGGAGCCAGGACTCCTGGGTTCTCTCCCCAGCTCTGGGAGGGGAGTGGGGACTAGTGGGTTACAGCAGGGGGGCTGGGAGCCAGGTCTCCTGGGTTCTATCCCCAGCTCTGGGAGGGGAGTGGGGACTAGTGGGTTAGAGCAGGGGGCTGGGAGCCAGGACGCCTGGATTCTCTCCTGCCTCTGGGAGGACAGCCGGGATCCCCAGGTTTTATGCTAACCCCCTCCCCTGTCTTTCTGCCCCTGGTCCCAGGAAGCCCTGATCAAGCTGGGCCCCCTGCCTCGGCTGCTCAACGACATCAGCGTCGCCCTCAGGAACCCGCACATCCAGCGGCAGCCAAGTCACCAGGGGGAGCGGCTGCAAACCAAGCCCATCATCCTGCGGGGGCCATCCTCTGACATGCAGCCCTACATGATGCGTGACCTCAACAGGTGAGCGGAGTCTGGGGATGGGGACGTGGGGGGCTGGAGAGCAGTGGGAGGGAGCAGGGCACTGGATAGGGCTGCAAACCCAACTCACGGTGGGGCGGCCAGGGAGCATCTCCCTCTGCCCCCGCCTTCCCCATGTAGGGTCCTGTCCAGGTCTCCTCCCAACACTAACTGCTGCCTCTGCTCCCCCTGCAGCTCCGTCGATCTGCAGCCCTACATGGTGCGGGGCCTCAACAGGTGAGCCCTGGCGCGGTCCCCACACTGGCCCCATACCATCCCGTATGCCCCCCCTGCCGCCCCACCCACCCTTCCTGATGGGGAGCAACGTCATCATTCCCCTTCCCAGCCTTGCTCTGGTCCCAGGGGGACACAGGGAGTGAGCACTGCCCTGTTCTAAGGAGCTCTGCATGAGGCCTGGGCAGCACCAGGCTGGGCCCGTTCCCTCCTTTGGGGGCCCCTGTGGAGTCTGTGTGCAAGAGGCTTATCTGTGGGGAGCTGCAGGGGGACTAGGAATCCCCCTGCCAGCCCAGTGAAGGGATGGTCACACATCATGGTCTGCTCAGAGACTCCTCCGTCCCTTATCCCCCAGGGACCCTGGGCTGGGGCTGCTCTTCCTACCATCTGTCCCCTGCCAGGCCTGCTCACCGACTCCCCCATCCCATGGGAGCCCTGAGTTGGGGCTGCTCTTCCCCCACACCGTCTGTCCCCCCAGGGCTGCTCACTGACTCCCCCATACCCCGGGGGCACTGGGCAGGGGCGCTTTTCCCTCTCCGTCTGTCCCCCCAGGGCTGCTGACTGACTCCCACCTACCCAGTACCCCAGGAGCCCTGGGCTGGGGCTGCTCACTGCTCCCTTCTTCCCATCCCTGCTGGAGCACTGGCCCCAGCCCTGACCACCTGGCCTCTCTGCACCCCCAGCTCCATGGACATGACCCGGTTGCCTTCGCCCACCAAGGAGAAGGGCTCCAAGGACATGTTCTTTGTGACACGCCCACCCCTGGCCCGCTCCTCGCCCGCCTACTGCACCAGCAGCTCCGACATCACTGAGCCTGACCAGAAGATGCTGAGCGTCAACAAGAGCGTCTCGATGCTGGACCTGCAGGACAGCCGCATGAACAGCGTCTCCAATCTGCAGAGCGTGGGCGACATGCTCAACAGCAGCCAGGCCTCCATCACCGCCGCCATGGGACTGCGGCCCAGCCGCCTCTCGCAGGGCAGTGGCTCCAGCATCGCGGCTGGCCTGCGGCTCAGCCACATGGGGGTCACCACTGATGGGGCTGCAGCCCAGCAGCTTAGGGTGCCCCTCTCCTTCCAGAACCCCCTCTTCCACATGGCCTCAGATGGGCCCTCAGCCGCACCCTCACACCGGCCATCTGAGGGCAACCCCGACACCTTTGCCCCCTTCCACGGCTACAGCAAAAGCGAGGATCTGTCTGCTAGTAAGCACATCATCCACAGCCACAGCTACAGTGACGAGTTCACCCGCCAGGGTTCTGAGTTCACCAAGCGCCAGCTCTCGCTGCAGGAGAACCTGCAGAACATGCTCTCCCCACCACAGATCACCATCGGGCCCCAGCCCCAGCGAGCCCCACCCCAGCCGCAGCCCCAGGCCCCGCTTCAGCGCGGAAAGTCCCAGCAGCTGACGGTCAGCGCTGCTCAGAAACCCCGGCCCTCCAGCGGCAACCTGCTGCAGTCACCCGAGCCCACCTATGGGCCAGCCCGCGCCCGCCAACAGTCAGTCACCAAGGAGACGCCCTCTGCGCTCAAGCCAACCATTACCAAGCAGGTGTGGGGAGGGCAGGGAGGGAGGCGAGGTGTGTGGGCGGTGGGGAGTGGCGTGGAGAGGTGTCAGCGAGTGGGGAGATGGGGCAGGGTGGACAGATGGGGAGCGGTACAAGGGGGTCAGTGAAGAGGCTCAGGGGTTCGTCCTCAGGAGCGGAGCGTCAGCACTGCTCAGGGTGGGTCGCTGACCTTCAGGCGGGGATGGTGTTCTCTCTTCCAGGGGTCCCCACAGGGAGGTGGGGGGAGTCTCTGGGGCAGGGAGGGGGGTCTCATTCCATGCTCACTAACTTTCCGCCCCCGCAGCCATCGCACACGCCTTCCACGCTGAACCCGGTCATGCCGGCCTCTGAGCGCACCGTGGCCTGGGTTTCCAACATGCCACACCTGTCAGCCGACATCGAGAGCTCCCACATCGAGCGCGAGGAGTACAAGCTGAAGGAGTACTCCAAATCCATGGATGAGAGCCGGCTGGACCGGGTAAGAGAACCCAGGAGGCTTGACTCCCAGCGGCCCCCCCTGCTTTAACCCACTAGACCCCACTCCCCTCCTCATGCCAAGGATAGAACGCAGGAGTCCTGGCCCCGAGCCCTTCGCAGTGGGGAGGCACGGAACCCCTGCCTCGAGACAGAAGTGCCCTCATGGCCATCACCTGGCCTCTCCCTCCAGGTGAAGGAGTACGAGGAGGAGATCCACTCATTAAAGGAGCGGCTGCACATGTCGAACCGCAAGCTGGAGGAGTATGAGCGGCGCCTGATGTCGCAGGAGGAGCAGACCAGCAAGATCCTGATGCAGTACCAGCAACGGCTGGAGCAGAGCGAGAAGCGGCTGCGCCAGCAGCAGGTGGAGAAGGACTCGCAGATCAAGAGCATCATTGGCAGGTGAGGGGCGGATCGGAGCGGTGGGGCCTTATGGTAGGGTCACTGGGTCCTGGGCATGTGCGGGGAAGGTGGGGGCCACGGGGTCCCTGGCACATGTTGGGGAAGATGGGAGGTCACAGGGTCCCTGGCACACATGGGGGGCGGCTCATGGCAGAGGCACAGGGTCCCTGGCATAAGTGGGGAGATGGGGTCACAGGGTCCCTGATACATGGTGATGAGGAGGTCATGAGGTCCCCAGCACACAGAGGGGCTGTGTGGGGGGATCACAGGACCTTAGGGGGATCCCATCAGAGATCCTGAAGTCAGGGCAGGGAGGGAACAGTCCCTCTAGGAGCTGCCTTCCATCCCATTCCTCAGGTACCTGCCGTGGCCTCCGCCCCCCCCCCAAGGGACCTGCTCCATCTGCCCCCTGCCCCACTGGGCATTAGCTGTCAGGGACCCTTGGCCTCCCCCCGCGGGAGCCCGGATTGACTCCAGTGAAGCCTGTCCCTACAGGTTGATGCTGGTGGAGGAGGAGCTGCGCAGGGATCACTCGGCCGCCCACGACGTCTCCGAACCCCGGAAACGCCTGCTCGACGCTCAGGTGGAAATTACAATGTCATTTTTCTTTTCCGTGTCTCCATTTCCCATCCCATCTCGTCTGCTGTCTGTCCCACGGGCAGGGCTAGTGCTGGGGGAAACCGATGGATGGACCCGGAGCAGGGCCAATGCTGGGGAGACAGCCTGATGAATGGACCCGGAGCAGGGCTAGTGCTGGGGGAAACTGATGGATGGACCTGGAGCAGGGCCAATGCTGGGGAGACAGCCCGATGGATGGACCCGGAGCTGGGCTAGTGCTGGGGGAAACCGATGGATGGACCTGGAGCAGGGGTAGTGCTGGGGAGACAGCCCGATGGATGGACCCGGAGCTGGGCTAGTGCTGGGGGAAACCGATGGATGGACCTGGAGCAGGGCTAGTGCTGGGGAGACAGCCCGATGGATGGATGGATGAAAGGGTAAGGGGCCAGGCTGGGAGAGCTGGATGGAGAAATGAGGGTTAGAGTTGCAGGACACAGACACACTGACCACCACAGCATTAGGACCAGGAGAGAGGGAGGCCAAGGGCTGGGAGAGGTGACAGATGGATGGATGGGGAGGGCTAGCACTGTGTTAGCCCTATATGGGGTGCCTGCCTCTTGGCGACATAGGATCAAGGTACTCACAGGGTGAGGGGGCCAGTGCCCCCTTACGGTACTCTCAGAGCAGGCCTGGGATTCAGTGCCCCCTCAAGGGGATGGAGGTGGAGAGGGGCCCTGGGCAGTGGGGATTTCTGAGGAGATGCCATCTGGACACCATAAGAAACAGCCCCTCTCCCCATCCTTCTCTCCCTGACTTTTGAGCAACTCCACAGTAAAACACTCTATTCCCCAATCATCCCCTCAGACAACCCCTACACATTTCCCCATGAAACCCCAAACCCCTCATATAGCTCTCCCGTAGCCACCCGAGCTGACACCATAACGCCCCCAATAATCCCCCTCCCACAGCTCCCCCGATAAACTCGCAGCCCCCAGAGTTGCTCCATCACAAACTCTGAGAGCTTACGTGGGCCTTGCAGCCTGGGCAATAAGGGACAGGGGACAGGGAAGAATAGCCTCCAAAGCTAGGTGCTGTGTTCAGAATCCTGGGAGGCCGTGGGGCCCGGCTCATGGGCCTAGTGAGGTGTGTGTAGGGATTGGGGTCTGAGGACACCATAGGGCCTGGCTCAGGGGCTAGTGAGGTATGTGCAGGGATTGGGGTCCGAGGACACCTTGGGGCCTGGCTCAGGGGCTAGTGAGCTGTGTGCAGGGATTGGGGTCCGAGGAGGCCGTGGGGCCCGGCTCATGGGCCTAGTGAGGTGTGTGTAGGGATTGGGGTCCGAGGACACCGTGGGGCCTGGCTCAGGGGCTAGTGAGGTGTGTGCAGGGATTGGGGTCCGAGGAGGCTGTGGGGCCCGGCCCAGGAACTCATGAGGTCTGTGTAGGGATTGGGGCCCGGCTCTGGGGCCTAGTGAAGCCCATGCGAGGATGGGGCCTGAGGAGGCCGTGGGGTCTGGCTCAGGGGCTAGTAAGGTCTGTGCAGGGATTAGGGCCCAAGGAGGCCGGGGGGTCCGGCTTGAGGGTAGGGTTTCCACCTGTCTATGATCATCCCTTGTTTGAGGTGGCTGTCCTGGGAAGTCTGTTGGGGCTCAGTATATGCTGCCCACTGGCCAGTTTATGAGCTTGAGAGGATCATCCCAGATGTCCTGGGATTTTTGTACCTCGGAGATGGTAACTCTAGCTGGGATTGGAGCCAGGGGGAGGCTATGGAGCCTGCCTCAAGAGCCTAGTGAGACCTGTGCTGAGATTGGAGTCAGAGAAGGCTTTGGCACCTGGGTTTAGGGTGTCCATGGGCCTGGGCTTGCGGAAGCTGGATTCATGGTCTTCAGAGGCAGCCATGAGGCTTTGTGCTGGGCTCCCAGGCATGGCTGCGTGAGGCCAGGAAGCCATGAGGACTGCTCAGTGGCCATCTCTCGGTGCGGCGCTTGTGAGCTTGGACAGTTTTGTTGTCTAGGAGTCACTGCAGGGGGGCTAGATTAGTTTTTAGGAATAACACCTGTCCCTTATTTGAAGGGATTGTCTCCTATTTCATTGATTTGTGCCTTTGGACAGCCACCCATCCCTTATTTTCAGATGTATTGATATTGATTAAAATGGATGAGTTCCATTCTAAATATTACAGTGAAGTTTATGAGACTTGCACTGTATCCTGAAGGAGGGAGTAGACACGTACGCTCTAGAGATTAGTTGGTGATATGATAAGGGATATGGTGCTTCCCTAAAAGGTCTTTTAAAATAAAGCGGGGTCCCTTATTTTCCCCATGCTTTCCCCTTATTTGCACCCTGCCAAGGTGGTCACCATATAGGTGTTTATGTCTGGATACCGGGGCTGGGTGCCCAGGGGTCTGTGCACAGATACCAGGCAGTGTGTATGTGTTAGGATTTTGAGGTAGCTCTGTAGCTCTAGCAGCTGTTCACCTGGCTGTCCCAGCATGAGCCAGTGGCAGGAATGTCTCCCCACTTCCCCGGCTGTCCCTGTGTGCCCCAGAGCTGGGTCATGTTGGCCCTGGATCTGTGGGTGTAGCGAGGGGTCAGGGAGAGGGCTTCCATCATGATTTTCCCAGGCCCCTTCCCCCTGCTGCCTCCAGCACGTCCCGGCCGTCTCCCACCCTGGGTCTGTGGACCCCTCCTGTTTTCTGGGGAGATGACGGAGCCAGCAACGGGGTGATCCGTGCTCCCACCGGGGGGCACCAGTGCCGGGGCCCTGACCCGTCTGTTTCTCTGCTCTTCATCCTAGCTTTTCATCAGGTAACTCTCTCTGACTCTGCTTTTGTCACGTGGAGGGATCGGGGGGACTCTCGCCGTTCGGTAGCAGATCAGGTGGGTCCTTTCCTCTCCTCCCCCTCCACCCCCATCTGCACACGCACCCCCTCCCCCTCTGTGCATCACCCCTCCCTGTAGAGACTAGCAAACTACCTTTTCCTTCCCCGTTAGGTTCAATTAACTCCGTTGTCTGGTTGGTTCTATCCCCCCTGCCCCGCCGAGGGTCCAGCCTCTCCCTCTCCAGGGGGCCCAGACCACTGAGTACTGGCATGGCGTGGGGGGATTGAACCTGCACCATGGAGCCTGGTCAGAACATTTCACAGACACTGTGTCTGTCGGGGGCAGCGCTGCCGGGGCCGCCTGTGGAGCTCAGCCCCAGGGCCTGCCCTCACCCTCCTGTTGGGGTCTTTTTCCAGGCCTTCCCATAAGCCTCTCGGTCCTGCTGGCTGCTTCTGCCAACTCTGGGGCGCCACTCCGCACCCCCCAGGGTCTGGGGGTCTCAGGCTGGAGCAGTTCCACCGTGGGGCGGCCAGTGGCTGAGGCGAGAACATCAGAGTGCAGAACTGTCTGGGTGCTGCGTCGCAGTCTCCTCAGAGCCGTGCTTCCGGTTGTGACGCAGCGGGGATGGGGAAAGGGGCCAGTTGGGTATGGGCACTGGGGGCCAGTATTTCTCTGGTCTTTTCCATCCCAGTGCCCTCTGCTTGAGTGCTTCTCCCTGCGCTGCCTCTGAGGAGACCCCCTCACACCTTCCGCTGCCCACTAGCAGAGACAGAAGACGGGTCTAGATGAGCTCCTGGTCTGATCTGCACCAGCTGACTCATGCATGCTGGGATGCAACACGAGGACCATTTAGTGGTACAGGACAGGAACCAAAGGAGAATCACGTGTGTCAGGAATAAACAATGTCACCTGTCAGCCTGTCCCCATCCTGTCTGCCCCCCTGCCCCCTGCCCCCTGCCCCCTGACTCGGGGCTCGCCTGACGTGGGCCTGGGGTGCGTTCCCACCAGGGTAGCCCGTGAACCTCTCTTGGGGTAGTGGCAGTACTTCCGTTTTCTTGGAGCTGGGATGTTGGGAGTCACCAGGCAGCCTGTGCTGCCCCCCAACACCTCATGAGCAATTCGCGGTGCTGGGGGATCCCTTCCCCTCGTGCCCACACTTCACCCTGTCTTCAGCACAAAGCAGGTTTTCCCACAGAGAGCTGCATTCCTCTGAGGGGCGCTGAGCCTCGGGACCCAGGTCTTGCCCACGTGAGCATCTTGCCCACGTGAGCACCCTTCCCTTGAAAGGCTCGGGGAGCAGTGCTGGGAGGGAGGCTGAGTGGGAATCAGAGCTGGGGTGGAGGCTGATTGGGGAGTTAAATTGGGGGAATGTTGGGGGAAACGTCTCTCACCAGACAAGGGCAGTTAGTGTTTTGTTAGTGTCTGTGAGCGTCTTCCCCAGCGCTAATCCCCCAGTGTCATACCCGTCTTGTTTCCACCTCCTGTCTTGTCTGTCTACGCCACATCTCACTGGAACCTGTAACTCCTATTGAATGGGGGAGGGGGGGAGGGCTGTGTTCAGCTCTCAGGGGACAGAACCAGGTAGTCTGGGGCAGGGAGTGGGATCCTCAGTTCTCAGCTCTGAGCTACCCCCACTTGCAGGGAATCTCTTTCCCATAGCCCTGATTTCAGGCGTTCTGGCTCCACAGGGGCCAGGCTGCAGTGTGGGTGTCTGCGTCTCGTGTGTGCATTGTGAGGGGAGGCATATACAGTGTAACGTGGGTGTGGGTGTGTCTGTGTCCTGTGAGCATGTGTGTTGGGGGGGGCACAGGTCTCAGCGATGAGAGCACAGTCCACCGTCCAGAGGGGGGCGCCCCGGAATGCTCCCGGGTGGTGCCGGACGGCAGGCGTGAGAGGTTAGTGCCCGCGTAGGGTGGGCGTGCGTGGGAATGTCATTCTCGGTGATGGTGTGGGGCTATGTGGGGGAGGGGATAGCACGGACAGACTGTGATTCCACAGGGACCGGGCAGTGTTCCCCAAGAGCAGAGTGAGACACTGACCCACACCCCTGAGCTGGGCTCCCATGTCATGGACTCAGCAGCTGCCTTGGCCTCATTCACAGCCCCCTCAAAGCCCACCCTTTGCCAACAGAAGGACTATAGAAACAGTGGGAGCAAGAGGCTGTTTGCCACCTCATGGCAGTGGGGTTTCTCCCCCTACTTGTCCCTAGCCTGAGTGGGCTGGGGCAGGTTTGCCGTGTCCCCAGTGACCTCCCACTGAAACAGCGCTGGGAAAATGTGAGCCTGTGAACTGGCAGCATGCTGAGCAAGGGGTGTGCCCCCAGGATTGGGGTTACACAGCAGAAAGGGGTATGGGGAGGGGAAGCTTTACCCTTGTTTCCCGACCTCCAGCAGGCCCAGCTCGTGCTGCTGCCCAGCTGTTAAACTGGGTACTGAATGCTTAGCCAAAGCCCCTCCTCTGGCTCAGTCAGGAGAAGCATCTTTCATCTAAGGCTGGGCTGGCCAGTTTGTCCTGCAGAGCTGTGCTGGGTCAGGGGCGACCCTAGTGAGGACGCAGATAGAATGGGGTAAAAGTGCCTTGTACCCTTCTAGCTTATTCCCCTTCAGGAATGGCTGGCTGCTCGCAGCACCTTTACATCACTGTGTCCACACTAGCAAGGGTGTCTGGCTTTAACCCCCCCCCCAGGGCAGGACACCATTCAGGTGTAGAGGAGCCTTTCATGAGAGCTGGGCTGCTGGTGAGGCCAAGATTTTCCAGGGTATTTAATGCCTGAGGATGCAGATAGGCACCTAGTAGGATTTTCAAAAATTTCCAAACAGATGAGGTGCCAAAGTCTTGTCTTTGTAAATCTGGCCAGAAGTGATGGGCCCAAGCTGAGACAGGGAGCCTGCAGTAGAGCAGGGACTGGAACGCAGAGCTCCTGTGTTGCAGGCGAGCACCCTACTCAGCACTCTGGCATTCCTCCCTATGGTAAATTAATCTCAGGATAACTGTGTCTGCCCTGGGGTCCTAGTGGTACCCATGTATTAATAAGATGTCACCAACCCTAACTTACTGCTTTTAAGGGTAGACCAGGTTAGCTAGGTCTGTGTCGACCAGGTGGTAGCTGGCTGGGCATAGGGTTTGTCCAGCTGGATGCTAAGAGAAGTGAATTACAAGGGGGGCATTAACATGTTTTCCAGTAGGAATCCATTTTCTTTTGTCCCACTGTGCGTTTAGGGTGCACTGCTGGAGTCCAGTGTTAGCTAACAAGCCCACCCCATGAACTGCCAGGCCAGAGAAAACCTGGGGCCATCCTCCTCTACTAGGGAAACAAGCAACAAATCCCCAGGAGAACCGCTACTGTTCCTGGGTTGGTGCTGGAGGCTCCTGGATCAGGTCGGCCCCATGGACCGAGCTGCCTGGGTGGATGTAGACACTGGGGAAGACAGCTGGGGCAGGGGTTGCCATCTGGGTAGGTGTCTGGTGGGCGGGTCTGCAGTTTGTGCGGCTGAGCCCCCGTAACGTTAATAAATAAGCCTTTGCTCTGTGTGTCTGTTGCAGGAGAGGCAGCTTTCCGCCGTGGGTACAACAAACCCGCGTTTGAGCGGCGCCCTGGCCCAGCCATGGAACGGGATCCTGCCCGCCCAGCCACCGCCTCCGCCCCCGCGACTCCAGATCACGGAAAATGGAGAGTTCCGCAACACCGCTGCTGAGCACTAGCCACTGCCCCCGCGAGACGCGGCCCGGGGGATACAGGGGGCACCCCCAGCCCGCAGCTCAGCGGGAGCAGCAGAGACCCTGGCAGGGACACAGTGCCCCTCCCAAGCAAATAAACCTGCACTGGGGGAGGCACCCCCTTTGCCCCCTCACCTTGCACCAGCGCCCCCCCCCCCGTTCCTGCCCCCGTGAACCAGCCCCCCACCCCCCTCCACCTGCACTGTCCTTGGGGACAGTTCAATGCTTTGAACTCAACTTCAGGGTGTTTTATAGCAGAACACAGATGACAATCTTACACCCCCTCCTCCCATACACCTTCCCCTCTCCTCCCAGAGGGAGCAGGGCTGACACCCCCCCCCCATGGACCTCTGCCTCCCCTTGGAGGAAATTGGGACATTATCTCTTCCCCACTTCATCTCAGGAGTGGTCTTATCTTCCCCTGGCAGCCATTTTATGGTATTGCCCCCTCCTTTCCTGGTGTGTGCGCATGGGAGGGGGGAGGGAGTAAACTCACCTCCAACCTGCCCTCAGGAGCCATGGTGGGGGGGGGGGGCAGATAGGGGGCTGATTTTGGTTGGCCGTGTTCCTGGAGGTTTCATCACATGACCTAATCTTTAATGAAAGTTGAGTTTAATTCCTGGAGACAATCCTGGGGGGTTGGCAACTGAGACTGGAGGCAACTTGAGCCAAAGCTGTCCCAATTTCCCGGCATGTGGGGGGTCTCTGCCTGGCTCCAGCTCCCCGGGACAGGGGCATTCCCTAGAGGGGGTCGAGGTTTCACTAAGAGGGAAGGGGCTCCCAGCTCTTTGTCCCAGTATTTCTCTCTCTCTCCCCTCCCTTAATGGGATATGGGTCAGGGTGGAAGGCTTGTGGAGTTGCAGGTACTCTCCCTGCCCCACCCATCACACGCTAGCTTCACCCCCAGTAAGGCAGGGCTGCCCCACACCATTGCCCTGGCTAAGGGAGAGACTACCCCCTTTCCTGCCTGTCCAGGGTCAGTGCTGGGGTTTGCCCCTCACCTCTGCCATTCCTACCTGGTGTCAGCACTGGGGAGTCTCCCCCCAGCTCCCACCTGGTGTCAGCACTGGGATCCCATCACCCTCTCCCTCTGCGCTCTCTATACTCTGATAAAGGGCTTTGCCTGCTCAGCCCCTCCGTGCCCCCCCCCGTGTGTCCTGCACCCACCCCAGTCTTTGGAAATGACGATTCTCTAGACATTGGTCGGGTTTTTTCGGGGGGGGGGCATTGAGGGAGGGGCTTTTTCTTTCCTTCCTTCCTTCCTGTTCTCAGACCCCCCCCATCTCCCCAGTCTGGGGTTGGTGGGGGGGAACAACCAACAAACTAATTAAGAAGCCATTTCTCTGCCCACCCACGGGCGCGTGCAGGGCAGCGGGACGGGGGAGCGCCCCCCCCAACACCTGAGCACGTAGAACTGGAGGGGACTCTTGTGGCTATTCACCGTCGTGCTATGGTCTGAGCTGCTGGGTGAATGTGTTCAGCGCAGTGATTGTACTGGGTGTTTCTTTGCTGTTTCTGTGTCTCTATTTCAGACTCTGGCGAGGACAAGACTCGCCATTAACCAGCCCTCCTCTGCCCCCAGCCCCACCTCAGTCCGTATTTCTTTTGTAAGGACTCTCCCCTTCCTTCCCCTCCCCCCCAACAGTGGCGACTCGGGCGGCGCCATGATATTTATACGTATTAATTATTATTATTATATAAAAGTTTGTACATATGTGAAATTTCCTCTCCCCCACCCGCCTCCCCCAGCTCATCCTGGCCGTATCGCCCTCAGGCTGGGTGCTGTAATTACCACCGGATTTGTACTGTACATAGACCTCTCCGGACCTCAGTCTCTGTACATAGCCCCCCCACCCTGGGAAGGGAGTTCAGGTCACGAGCGCCCGCCCCGATGCCGCGTCGGGCTCCCCGGGCGTCTCTCTCTCTCTCTCTCTCTCCCCGTTTCTTTTATGTCTGTTTTATTTTTTCTCATTTTTTCTGGAGTGTGTGGTGCCAACGGAGAAACGTTTAATAAACAGCGATTGTTCTTTTACGCCACCTTGGCCTGGGGCTGCAGGGCACGGCCTGGGGGGGGGGCACGGCCCGGAGGAGGGGCTCCCGCGGGGGTGCAGGGCACGGCCTGGGGGGGGGCTCCGCGGGGGTGCAGGGCACGGCCTGGGTGGGTCGCGGCCCGGAGGGGAGGCTCCGCGGGGGTGCAGGCCACGGCCCAGAGGTGGGGCTTCCCGCGGGGGTGCAAGGCACGGCCTGGGGGGCGCACGGCCCGGAGGGGGGGCTCCGCGGGGGTGCAGGGCACGGCCCAGAGGGGGGGCTTCCCGCGGGGGTTCAGGGCACGGCCTGGGGGGCGCACGGCCCGGAGGGGGCTCCGCGGGGGTCAGGGCAGGGCCCGGGGGGGCAGGGCCTGGGGGGTCCCCTCCGTGGCGGGGCGCCCAGCGCGCTGCGGCGCTGGGGAAGGAGCAGAGCGGGTGTCCCCAGCCCCCTGGAATCTCAGCACCGCCCCCGCCAATCACAGAACGCTCCTCCTATGGCCAATCAGAGTGCGGGACGAAGAAGGGGGACGCCTGGTCACTCGCCAGACGCTGGTTACTAGAGAGCTGCTCTGTGATTGGCTGAAGGGAGATCAGGCGCCCACCAATTGGCGGCTCCTGCTTCCAGGGTGCGACGCCGGCTGAGCGATCGCTGGCCTGCGTTGGCCAGGGGCAGGGCGTGTCTCAGGGGTGAGCTGAGCGCTGGTTGGCTGAGACGTCCCAAGGTCAGCTGTTGGTTGGCCCGCGTGTGGGCGGAGCTGGGGTGGCTCGTGCCCGGCCAGCGGTTCGTTGGCCACGTGCTGGGGCGGGACTCGGGGGAAGGGCCAGGCTCGCTTTTGGTTGGCCAATGGCCACCCGGCGTGAGTGTCCTGCCGCGGTTGCCTGGTGACCCAGCTACAGTAGGAGGGAAGGAGGACTTGTGGCACCCTAGAGACTAACCAATTTATTTGAGCATGAGCTTTCCTGAGCTACAGCTCACTTCATCAGGTGCATACCGTGGAAACTGCAGCAGACTTTATATACACACAGAGAATATGAAACAATACCTCCTCCCACCCCACTGTCCTGCTGGTAATAGCTTATCTAAAGTGATCATCAGGTGGGCCATTTCCAGCACAAATCCAGGTTTTCTCACCCTCCACCCCCCCCACACAAATTCACTCTCCTGCTGGTGATAGCCCATTCAAAGTGACAACTCTTTACACAATGTGCATGATAATGAAGCTGGGCCATTTCCTGCACAAATCCAGGCTTTCTCACATCCCCCCCACCCCCATACACACACAAACTCACTCTCCTGCTGGTAATAGCTCATCCAAACTGACCACTCTCCAAGTTTAAATCCAAGTTAAACCAGAACATCTGGGGGGGGGGGAGGGGAGGAAAAACAAGAGGAAACCCGGCGCGGGGGCGGGGTGTCCCGGGGCTCCCTCTCGGTTGCCCCGGGCGCGGGGTGTCCCGGGGCTCGCTCTCGGTTGGCCCGAGCGCGGGGGGCGGGGTGTCCCGGGGCTCGCTCTCGGTTGGCCCGGGCGCGGGGGGCGGGGTGTCCCGGGGCTCGCTCTCGGTTGGCCCGGGCGCGGGGGGCGGGGTGTCCCGGGGCTCCCTCTCGATTGGCCCGGGCGCGGGGTGTCCCGGGGCTCGCTCTCGGTTGGCCCGGCGCGGGAGGCGGGGTTTCCCGGGGCTCGCTGTCGTTTGGCCCGGGCGCGGGGGGCGGGGTTTCCCGGGGCTCGCTCTCGGAAGTCCCGGCGCGGGGGGCGGGGTTTCCCGGGGCTCGCTCTCGGTTGGCCCGGCGCGGGGGCGGGGTGTCCCGGGGCTCGCTCTCGGTTGGCCCGGGCGCGGGGGCGGGGTGTCCCGGGGCTCGCTGTCGTTTGGCCCGGGCGCGGGGGCGGGGTTTCCCGGGGCTCGCTGTCGTTTGGCCCGGGCGCGGGGGCGGGGTTTCCCGGGGCTCGCTCTCGGTTGGCCCGGGCGCGGGGGGGGGGGTTTCCCGGGGCTCGCTCTCGGTTGGTCCGGGCGCGGGAGGCGGGGTGTCCCGGGGCTCGCTGTCGTTTGGCCCGGGCGCGGGGGCGGGGTGTCCCGGGGCTCGCTGTCGTTTGGCCCGGGCGCGGGGGCGGGGTTTCCCGGGGCTCGCTCTCGGTTGGCCCGGGCGCGGGGGCGGGGTTTCCCGGGGCTCGCTCTCGGTTGGTCCGGGCGCGGGGGGCGGGGTGTCCCGGGGCTCGCTCTCGGTTGGCCCGGGCGCGGGGGCGGGGGTGTCCCGGGGCTCGCTGTCGTTTGGCCCGGGCGCGGGGGCGGGGTTTCCCGGGGCTCGCTCTCGGTTGGCCCGAGCGCGGGAGGCGGGGTTTCCTGGGGCTCGCTCTCGGTTGGCCCGGGCGTGGGGGGCGGGGTTTCCCGGGGCTCGCTGTCGTTTGGCCCGGGCGCGGGGGGCGGGGTTTCCCGGGGCTCGCTGTCGTTTGGCCCGGGCGCGGGGGGCGGGGTTTCCCGGGGCTCGCTCTCGGTTGGCCCGGGCGCGGGGGGCGGGGTTTCCCGGGGCTCGCTCTCGGTTGGTCCGGGCGCGGGAGGCGGGGTGTCCCGGGGCTCGTTGTCGTTTGGCCCGGGCGCGGGGGGCGGGGTGTCCCGGGGCTCGCTGTCGTTTGGCCCGGGCGCGGGGGGCGGGGTTTCCCGGGGCTCGCTCTCGGTTGGCCCGGGCGCGGGGGGCGGGGTTTCCCGGGGCTCGCTCTCGGTTGGTCCGGGCGCGGGGGGCGGGGGTGTCCCGGGGCTCGCTCTCGGTTGGCCCGGGCGCAGGGGGCGGGGTGTCCCGGGGCTCGCTGTCGTTTGGCCCGGGCGCGGGGGGCGGGGTTTCCCGGGGCTCGCTCTCGGTTGGCCCGAGCGCGGGAGGCGGGGTTTCCCGGGGCTCGCTCTCGGTTGGCCCGGGCGCGGGGGGCGGGGTTTCCCGGGGCTCGCTCTCGGTTGGCCCGGGCGCGGGGGGCGGGGTGTCCCGGGGCTCGCTCTCGGTTGGCCCGGGCGCGGGGGGCGGGGTGTCCCGGGGCTCGCTCTCGGTTGGCCCGGGCGCGGGGGCGGGGTTTCCCGGGGCTCGCTGTCGTTTGGCCCGGGCGCGGGGGGCGGGGTTTCCCGGGGCTCGCTCTCGGTTGGTCCGGGCGCGGGAGGCGGGGTGTCCCGGGGCTCGCTGTCGTTTGGCCCGGGCGCGGGGGGCGGGGTTTCCCGGGGCTCGCTCTCGGTTGGCCCGGGCGCGGGGGGCGGGGTTTCCCGGGGCTCGCTCTCGGTTGGTCCGGGCGCGGGGGGCGGGGTGTCCCGGGGCTCGCTCTCGGTTGGCCCGGGCGCGGGGGGCGGGGTGTCCCGGGGCTCGCTGTCGTTTGGCCCGGGCGCGGGGGGCGGGGTTTCCCGGGGCTCGCTCTCGGTTGGTCCGGGCGCGGGAGGCGGGGTGTCCCGGGGCTCGCTGTCGTTTGGCCCGGGCGCGGGGGGCGGGGTGTCCTGGGGCTCGCTGTCGTTTGGCCCGGGCGCGGGGGGCGGGGTGTCCCGGGGCTCGCTCTCGGTTGGCCCGGGCGCGGGGGGCGGGGTGTCCCGGGGCTCGCTGTCGTTTGGCCCGGGCGCGGGGGGCGGGGTTTCCCGGGGCTCGCTCTCGGTTGGCCCGAGCGCGGGAGGCGGGGTTTCCCGGGGCTCGCTCTCGGTTGGCCCGGGCGCGGGGGGCGGGGTTTCCCGGGGCTCGCTGTCGTTTGGCCCGGGCGCGGGGGGCGGGGTTTCCCGGGGCTCGCTCTCGGTTGGCCCGGGCGCGGGGGGCGGGGTTTCCCGGGGCTCGCTCTCGGTTGGCCCGGGCGCGGGGGGCGGGGTGTCCCGGGGCTCGCTCTCGGTTGGCCCGGGCGCGGGGGGCGGGGTGTCCCGGGGCTCGCTCTCGGTTGGCCCGGGCGCGGGGGGCGGGGTGTCCCGGGGCTCGCTCTCGGTTGGCCCGGGCGCGGGGGGCGGGGTTTCCCGGGGCTCGCTCTCGGTTGGCCCGGGCGCGGGAGGCGGGTTGTCCCGGGGCTCGCTCTCGGTTGGCCCGGGCGCGGGGGGCGGGGTGTCCCGGGGCTCGCTCTCGGTTGGCCCGGGCGCGGGGGGCGGGGTTTCCCGGGGCTCGCTCTCGGTTGGCCCGAGCAGACCTCGCTGCTGGGACTCGCCCTCCTGCACAGCTCGCCGCAGGTAAGAGCTGAGTTCACCGCTGGGGTGGGGGAGTGTCCCGCCGTGGGGCTGCACACGGCACTGGGGCGGACAGATTGTGTGCTCGGTAGGGTAGTGATGCTGGGCAGAGGTGTAGGGTTCCCTGGGGGCAATGCCGTGGGGCAGGTGCTGGGGGGGGGGCGTTTGAGGGTCCCTGCTTCTGCTCTCAGGATCCTGGTCTGTGAAACACTCATTTTACCCCCTGTCCGGGTCCCTCTGACCCCACAGTGGGGATGGGAGGGTTGAAGCTCTGTAATGATCCCCCAGTGCTTTCTCACAACCACCCTGCACCAGCGCTCTCCTACAACAGGTGATGCCATGGAAAGGGTGGGTTAGGTGGGGGTGTTTCTCTGGGCCCCAACACCCCATCTGTCCTGCTCCATTAACATTTTCCTCCTGCAGCAGGCAGTGCCAGGGTTGGAGGTTTCTTGGGGCTCCAGCCCTTCCCTGCATTCTGCTACTCCCCATACAGTTCTTCTCCATCCCTATGGCAGGCAGCACCATGGGTAGGGAGTTTTTCTTAGCCTCAGCATCCTTCACGCCCTGTCTCTCCTGTTGCAGTGACCTGCCTTGGGCAGGCGGTGCCATGGAGCCCGAGACCCGCAGCATCCAGATTGAGTTCCCGCACTATGCTGCGGTGCTGCTGGAGTCGCTCAACAAACACCGCTTGGAGGGCAAGTTCTGTGACATCTCCATCCACGTGCAGGGCCGGGTCTTCCAGGCTCACAAGAGCGTGCTGGCAGCCTCCTCTCCCTACTTCCATGACAAGCTGCTCCTCAATGACACCAACTGCATTGTGCTGCCCACTGTCATTGAGCCAGAGGCCTTTGAGAATTTGCTACAGCTCATCTACTCTGGCCGCCTCAAGCTGCTGATGGAGGCACTGCCCAGTCACCTGCTGGTGGCCAGCGGGCTGCAGATGTGGCAGGTGGTGGACCAGTGCTCTGAGATACTTAAAGAGCTGGAGGGGGGCCCCTGCCGGCCCTGGTCCAGCCGAGCAAGCGAGAGCCAGTCCCCCAGTAGCAGCAACTATTTTGCTGTGAAGGATGATGGGGAGCCAGGGGGCGGCAGCTCAGAGGGGCCTGGGCATGGTGGGGTGTCATCAGGCCGGCCAGCACCAGGCTGCCCTGACAATGAGGTGATGAAGATCCGGGTGTCACAGGAGGAAGAGGAGGAGGAGGAGGAGGAGGAGGAGGAACATCAGGCCCAGATCTGCAGCGGCTCAATGGACAAGGCTGTGAAGATTGTACTGGAGGAAGATGAAGAGGGTGGTGGCAGAGGAGGCTCCAAGGGGCCGTCTTCAGGGGAGCTGGACAGCGCCTTCCATGGACCCCGTGACCACCCCAAGATCTTCTACATCAAGCAGGAGCGCTTTGACCCTGACGAGGCAACAGTGGCAGGACTGGGAGGTGGTGTGAGTGCTCCAGGTGAAGCCAGCTTTCTGAAGTCGCTGGCACAGGGGCGGGCATTGGGCATGGCTGAGGTTCAGGGCCTGTGCCAGGCAGAGTTCCAGCCAAGCAGTGAAGTCAGCTACATAATCCCTGCTCCGGGCACTGGTGCCACCTCCTCCTCTTCCTCCATTGCTGCCCCTGGCTTCACCATTAAGGCCCAGCCCCTCTCCTCCGATGAGGCCAGCTTCCCCCAGAGCTCCTGGAAGCCAGTGGACCTACATGGCAATGAGATCATTGCCCATGCGGTGCATGGCCAGGTGGTGCATGCACCTGTTAAAATTGTGACGGCGCCTGATGGAAAGAAGTTTGGCTGCCTGTGTGGCAAGCGCTTTGCCGTCAAGCCCAAGCGTGACCGGCACATCATGTTGACCTTCAGCTTGCGCCCCTTCGGCTGCTCCGTCTGCAACAAGAAATTCAAGCTGAAACACCACCTGACGGAGCATATGAAGACACATGATGGGAACCTGTATTCATGCGAGGACTGTGGGCGCAAGTTCCGTGTGCAGAACTGCTTCCTCAAGCACAAGGAGCTGTGCAAGGGCCAGGGCTGGGCCACTGCTTGCTGGACCTACAAATAAAACCTGGGGTGGGACTGAGTGGAGGACTCCTGCCAGCCTTCTCTAGGCCTGATCCAGCCCCTGAGCTTTGTTGCTCTGTATCCTTGCAGCTCTGCCCTCCTGAGCTTGGTAACCTGCTCTAGGGCCCCGGGAACACCAAAACATGAAGGGACACAAATGGGAGCTGGGCAGGCCAGGGGATTTGGCCCCAGCATGGTGGCTCCCCATGCTGCTCCATGGCTTAGTGTTTCCGACATACAGAACTTGCCATGGGTCAAAGGGGGGAGATAGAGAAAGCGAGAGAGCCCCAGGCTAATGTGGGAGCTCAGGGCAGAAGGGTGGAGCAAGAGGCTGATGGGAACCTCAAGGCAGGGGATTAACAGCCACATTACATCCCTGTTCCCAATCTGGCCCTGCCCTCCTCTGAAAGGGTACTGCTCTGTTGTGAGTGAACTTAACTGCTGGATCCCACTTACTCTTCACTCAGCTGCGTCTGGGCAGAGCTGTGTCACTGTTCCTGGCTCTGGGTTTATAAGGCACATTCCCAGGTGTGGATTCCATGGCTGCCACCTTCCCTTGGGACTTGGGAATCTGTAGCCTAGCCACCAAAACCAGCATCTCAGTCTTCCCCAGCCCTCAAGTGTTTGTACATGGTCCCTCAGAATCTGCCTTGCTGTGGGTGCTCAGGGCCGATGACTAACCCCTTAGGGACAATAAGGTAGGTAAGCAAAGAACACAGGCTCAGCAAAGTGATTTCTTAACCATAGACACTTTAGTCTTAAAGCAGCAGAGTGTTACAGATCTGTGAAAACCACAGTCCTGAGCTGCCCTCAAGTCTGATCTCACTCCTTCTGCGAGACTGAGTTCTGGTCAGTGTTCCAGACAAGGCCAAGTCCCTCCTGCCTTCTTTCCATCAAGCCTGGTCTTGTGGAGTGTGGCAGTGGGCAGCCCACCCTTCTCCGGGAGCACTCCCCTTAAACCTAGTCTTTGACACTTTTGGACCATGTGCCCAGTCTAGGATATTCCAACCCCATGCCCTGTGAGACCCAGGGAAGAAAAACATTGTCCCCTGAATCGGGCCAGTCTTTGAATCATCCAAAGTTGATGGGCCTTGATGGTCCAGTCGTTGATAGTCCTTTCCCTGGCAGGGCAGTGTCTGGAATAGACTGGCTTTGTCCAAGTCAGGCTGGCTTTTCAACACAGTGCACAAAATGAGAGAGAGGCGCATAAACAGAAATCAAAGTCAAATGCCGTTCACCATTTGGTACAGACATAACTCTTTTCTGTTGCTGCCACTGGCTAGGTCAGTAACCTGGAGGCTACCAACCCCAGCACTGTGGCAGGCATGGGCAGGATGGGAAAAGCTCAGTGTGACAGCCATGGAGATAGAACCGTAGTGGGTTTTGCCCGGGTTTCCTGGTCCTGCAGGGAGGCTTTTGGCTGTATTGCTCCCACTGTCACCCCACTCTCCTTCCAACCAGGCCCAGTGTGAGCTCCCCCTCCTGCCAGAGCAGCTCAGCCACTCCGTTCCCAACCCCTTCATTGTTCTGTGTGCCACATCCCAGGCCTGGGGACTCAGATTCCCCTGTGAGCCCCAGCACGGGACTAGGGTGGGTTGGGAACAGGGGTAGAGACTGGTGTAAATGTGCTGTACGCTAGAGAGTGTGGGTCTTTGCGCACCCTTCTAATGACTGGTGCACAAAGCAGGTGGCAGAGTGACATGTTCAGAGCAAGCGGTAGAGTTCAGTTTTGTGGAGCTGAAGTCCCTGGGTCGCTTCGACCATGACCCATGTGGGGTTGGGGTTGTCAGCCCCTCTGCAATCCCCTTACCCTGCTTGATTTCTCCCCCTATCTTCTGGCTTCAGCAGCCACACCCATTCTTGTCCCTGGCTTCCTGCTATGGGTGTGTTTCTTATTGACCTTGTTTTATTTGCCCTCTTCTTCCCACCAGTTCCTTGCTGTGGTTCATGCCCTTTCCCACTGGCATCACTGGCCCGGGTGAGAATCTGTTTCCTTGAATAACACCTTGAGCCTTCTCACTCACCCAAAGAGGAAAAGCCACTCCCTTGTTTTTAACTGTATGCACCTCTCTGGGTCCCCCTGCATGGGCTGTGCACACACACCTCTCCCCACCAGCCTCTGCTCTTGGTTAAGAACATAAGAATGGCCATGCTGGGTCAGACCAGTGGTCCATCTAACCTCATATCCTGTCTTCTGACAGTGGCCAGTGCCAGATGCTTTGGAGGGAATGCATATGACAGCGCAATTTATCGAGGGGCTATCCCGTGTCATCCAGTCCCAGCTTCTGGCAGTCAGAGGTTTAGGAACACCCAGAGCATGGGGTTACATCCCTGATTATCTTGGCCAATAGCCATTGATGGACCTGTCCTCCAGGAACGTATCTGGTTCTTTTTTCAACCCAGTTATACTTTTGGCCTTCACAACATACCCTGGCAATGAGTTCCACAGGTTGTCTGTGTGTTGTATGAAGAAATACTTCCTTTTGTTTGTTTTTAAACCTGTTGCCTATTTAATTTCATTGGGTGACCCTGGTTCTTGTGTTATGGGAATGAGTAAATAACATTTCCTTATTCACTTTCTCCACACCCTTCATGATTTTATAGACCTCTGTCATCTCCCCCCTTAGTCGTCTCTTTTCTAAGCTGAACAATCCCAGTCTTTTAACTTTCTCTTCATATGGAAGCTGATCCATACCCCTGATTTTTTTTTTTTAGTCCTTTTCTATACTTTTTGCAATTCTAGTATCTTTTTGAGAAAGGGGACCCGAATTGCACACAGTATTCAAGGTGTGGCCATACTTTGGATTTATTTAGTGGCATTATAACATTTTCTGTCTTCTTATCTATCCCTTTACTAATGGTTCCTAACATTCTGTAGCCTATGTGTTGGGTTCAAGGATTTTAATTCCTTCCCTGTTGACTAGCTCAGAAACACTCTGTGTGAATGCAAATCAGGTTAGCTTGTTCCAGAGCAGGGTGCTGCTCTAGCAGGGGGTCCATACACACCAAGCTTTTCTGACCCAAGTAGCTTCAGTTTTCTGCATGTTTTCTTTTGTCCCTGCCAGAGGGGAGACTGAGCTAAATCTGGCCATCTCAGCAAAGTAATGGCTGGGGCGGGGATAGGATTGTAACTACTAGTGTCTCAAGGTTGCCAGTGCCAAGGTCTATGGTGAAGGGAACCAAATAGGGGGATTCAAATGAAGAGAGCTGAGAGTCACGGGCCCAGGAGCTCTGAAACAATCCCCTCACACTGAGGGACTGGCGGGATTCCTTCCCTGAGGGGAGGGCTGGGTGAGGATCAATCTTGCCTTGGGCTGTGGGACACAGAGGCCCAAGGATGGTTCAGAAACACTAGCATGGAGGGAAACGGACAGGGAGAGTTCTGTGAAGAGGGAGGGTTGAGGAGAAGGGTGTGAACCAATTAGTGCAACGATTCTTGTGTGTAGCACTTGTACAAACCCAAATCTCTATATTGTATAAAATTTTGCTATGGAATCTAAGCAGATTTGCAAGAGTTTCATTTTGACCTTCTCAGGGCTGCTACAGATGGAAAAAGGGCTAAACCCTGTCCCTGATACCAGCTTCATCCTTGGACACCTGCACTGTACACCTCTGCCCCCTCCATGGGTGCATACACCCCCTGCCCCCCTCATATCCCGCATACACTCGTGCCTTCCCCCAGACACCCCCTGCCCCCCTCATATCCCCCAGACGCCCCCTGCCCCGCCCCCCCCCGACATCCCCTGTAACGAGGCCTCAGGCCGCGACCTCTGACCCCGTGTAGGCCCATCCATTGATGGGCTCCCGGGACTACTGAATCGAGGCCTTGACTCCCGCCCCCTCGGACACGGGGCTTTTGGGCCAATCGCAGCGCCGCTTCTGATCCTTCCGCCAATCAGAAGAGTATGGGGGCGGGGCTCAGCACGGCCAATCCTCGTGCAGGAAGGCTGACTCCGCCAATCAGCGCATGTTGGCAAGCGCCAGCTCTGGAAGCTGTTGCCATGGAAACAGTTTGACTCAAGCCCGGGACCCGGTGGAAGCGACAGAAAAGGGGGGGGGGTCCCCTCGTAACCAAGGAAACCGCCCCCGCCCTGGCCGCCGCTCCGTGACCCCGGGAACCGCCCCCCGCAGCCTGCCCGTCGCTCCGTGACCCCGGTAATCGCCCCCCCCAGCCTGCCCGTCGCTCCGTGACCCCGGTAACCGCCCCCCCCAGCCTGCCCGTCGCTCCGTGACCCCGGTAATCGGCCCCCCCTCCTCCTGCCCGTCGCTCCGTGACCCCGGTAACTGGCCCCCTCCGCACTGCCCGTCGCTCCGTGACCCCGGGAACCGCCCCCCCCCAGCCTGCCCGTCGCTCCGTGACCCCGGTGCCTGCGCCGTGTGAGGGGAGAGCCACCATGGCGCGGCGGCGGCTGGAGCGGGCACTGCTGGAGTCGCGCGGCAGGGAGAGGGAGGAGGCAGCGCAGGGTCCCGCACGACTCCGCATCCGGCACCAGGTGCCGCTCAGCAGTGACCCACACGGGATCTACAGCCTCCGCTTTGCGCCGGCCGGGGGGCGCCTGGCAGCCGGGTTCGGCAACGGGGCTGTTCAGGTACCGGGGCTACAGGGCGGTACCGGGGGAAGGAGAGTTGGAGGGTAACAGGGCCACCTGGGTAGCAAGGGGAGGGGAGTTGGAGGGTAACAGGGCTGCGTGGGTCCCTGGATGGGGTTGGAGGGCACTGGAGGGGAAGCAGGGATTGGCGGGTAACAGAGGAGAAAGGGATGGAGGGTAGCGGGGCCAAGTTGGTACTGGGAGGGGGTTGAAGGGGATGGGAGGGAGGAGAGGTTGGAGAGTAATTGGGGGATGGGAGGTAGAAGAGTAACAGGGCTGTGCAGGTACTGGGCAGGGGCGGGGTTGTAGGGTAACGGTGGGGGAAGGGGAGGTTGAGGGTAACATGGCCATGTGGGTACTGGGAGGAAGTTGGAGGGTAACAGAGGAGAAGGGGATGGAGGGGAACAGGGCCCGTTGGTACTGGGAGGGGGTTGAAGGGTACTGGGGGGAGGAGAGGTTGGAGGGTAACAGGATGGCTTGGGTACCAGGAGGGGGTTGGAGGGTAATGGGGGGATGGGAGGTTGGAGACTAACGGGGCTGTGTGTGTTCCCGGGAGGGGGCTGGAGGGTAACAGGGTTGGATGGTAACTGGGGAAGGGGTGGTTGGAGGGTAACGGGGCTGCGTGGGTACTTGGAAGGGGTACCGGGGGTGGGTGTAATGCCATTCCTGTCACGTCACCCATCCCATTCTCCATTTTCCCCTTCACTCTCAGATTGTGAACGTGGCAACAGCCTCCCTGCACTCGTCCCTTTTCCAAGGACACCGTACGCGCCATGCGATCACTGCCTTGGCCTACCACCCGGGGAGACCCAGCCTGCTCCTGGCTGTGGGGGCTGATGGCATCATCTCTCTCTACAGCATGGACTCGGAGACGCTGCTGGCGACAGTGACAGGTATGTTCCATAGGGTACCTTGTCACCATGTGCCCAGCGGATGGGCCTTTCCCTCTTCTCCCCAAAGAAAGGGCTGTGAGAGATCTCTCCTCCAAAGAAAGGGCCAGGAGCCCTGGCCCCATGGTGTGGGGGGTCAGTGAGCTGGGGGAATCCCATCCTCACCTTTGTCCTTGTTGCTGGGGTAACAGCCCTTGCTAGTTGCTCTCCCCATGTCTGTCCCACCCCAGAGAAGGAGAATGAGATCAATGCCATGGATTTCTGCATGGATGGCAGCACCTATGCCACAGCTGGCAAGGACCGACATATTCGGCTCTATGACAGCCATACCAACCAGGTGAGTGGGGAGGGGCATGCCAGAAAAGGATGCAGGTAGCACAGATGGAGGGAGGGGTGGTGCTAGGGGAGGGCTCTATCTGGATTGGGGGTGGGAAGCAAGGATGGGGTGCGTGTGTGTGTTGCCCCTGCTCCCGCCTGTGTCCCCCAATCACCCCATGACCCAGATTCTGCTTCCCTTCCACACAGCTGTCCCACATTCTGCAGGCTCCTGACTTCATGACTGGGGATGTGACACCGAGCAGTGGGCACTCTCGCCGCATCTTTGCTCTCCGCTTCCACCCTGGAGAGCGCCATGTGTTCCTGACAGCTGGCTGGGATGACTGTGTGAAGGTGAGGCCCTGCATTATAGGTGGGTATGGTTGGAGAGGTAGCAGGAGGAAATGGAGGGGGCTGTGTCTGTGGCTTCTGGCTAATGGGGAGGGGTTCTGGATGCTACCATTGTTACCTGTCTCTTATCTGTGCCTAGATCTGGGACAAGCGGATGGCAAAGGAGGCTCAGAGAGTGATCAATGGGCCTCACATCTGTGGCCCAGGCCTTGACATCCAGGTGAGATGTGGGAGGTGACAGGGGGACAGAGGGCGTGAGCTACACTGTGTGGGCATGCAAAGTCCTGGCCAGGGCTGGTCTGTGTTGACTTTTCTTGGAGCTTCTGCACTGACCCTGAACCAATAGCTCTGGGATCAGGGTCACCTGCCCCCCAATACCCCACCCCACTGAAGAAGTAACCTTTCCCCACGTAGGGTAACTATGCTCCTGGGTGCCCGGGGGAGAGGTAACGCCCCATATCTGAGCCTGACTCCTTCCCCCCCAAGGGTAACCGCGTGCTCACTGGTTCCTGGGTGCCCCACAACGCGCTTCAGCTCTGGGATCTGCGGACATCCCAACTGCAGAAGAACCTCCCCTTTCCTGGGGGTCCTATGCAGGGCCAGTTCCTCTACGCAGCCCGGTTCTGTGACCAGGACATAGTGGTGGCTGGGGGCAGCGGCACCAGCGGAGCCAGCGCCATCCACACTGGCACGAACCAGGTGAGATGGGAGGTGGGTACCCCTGCTTGGGAGTAAAGGGGGAGTAGGCATTCCCCACTTGGGGGAATGACAGTGAGAGCCAGTGGAGCTGGGTTATCCCTTGAGGGCAGGGGGTCAGTGTGAGCCAGGGAACAGGATGGGGGGATATTTGGGGACTTTGGGTGCTATGAGCCAGGGGAGCAGGCCGGGGGATGGGGTGGTTGGAGGGTGGCGTGACGTGACGTGAGCAAGGACAGCAGGGAGGTTGGGGAAGTGAGCAAGGGTGGAGGGGTGGAGCGGAGGAAGGCCAGGGATTGGGTGGTGTGAGCCAGGGGAGCAGGGTGCTTAGTCTTGGGTGACATGCTCTTTGTCTCCAGGTGCTCGGCGAGATCCTGCTGCCCAACAAACCGGTGCAGGCTGTGGCAGTAGCACCCGGTGGGCGGGTGGTGGCTGTGGCTGGTGTGGGAGGGAATCTCCATATCGCGGACCTGCACTGAGCCCCAGCAGAGAGGGGGTGAGAAGGGTGCAAACCTGGGAGTCACAGTCCCCTCCATCTACAGCTCCTCTGATCTATGGCTCTCCCACACAATTCTGCCCCACCAGGACTACAGCCCTCTGCAACATCTGGGAACACAGGAACCACAGGCCCCCCCTTCCCAACTCCCCTGCACCCCTCTGTGAGACCTGGAGCATCCAGAGCCCTGGGCACCTGCTGGCATCTAATAAACTTCCTGCCCCTGAAGAAGTGACTCATGGGGTCTATGAATGGGAAGGCCTGGCCCATGTGCTGGGAGTCATGGGGGTGGGGGGAAGCTAGCCTCTGTGCTGGGAATTTCTGCGGGGAGGGGAGGCCTGTGAACTGGGAATCACTGGGATTTGTGAGGGCATCTGTTTCTTTGGTGGTTCTAAACCACTTCCTGCCACCACTTTATGCAGGGAAGTGGGGGCTCATCTCCAGCAGTGCTACATTTCCCTCAGTTTGGTGGGGAAACCCCCAGCACCCCCCACTCCTGGGCTTGGCCAGCCTTTGTCCATGCAGTGGCATCTGGAACCAGGAAACTCTGTGCAGGGAGCGTCTACACTGCATCTGGGAACAAGCCTCCCAGCCTGGGTAGGCAGACTTGTGCTAATGTGCTAAAAAGAGCTGTGGGGATGTCGCTGAAGGCTGGCATTAGACAGCCAATGGCCACACCACTGCTTTTAGCTTGCTGTCAGCTGCAGTGTATCCTCGGAGGGGAGAGAGCCTCCACCCTCATCCTCCCCCTCCACCCGCTGTAGGGACAGCCTCCGCCCTCACACACACCCCACCCCTGCAGGGACAGTCTCCACCCTCATCCCCCCACCCCTGCAGGGACAGCCTCTGCCCTCATCTCCCCCCCCCCCCACTACCACCACCACGCTGCTGCAGGGACAACCGCAGCCCTCACACACAGACACACCCCGCGCTGCAGGTATCAACCCTCCTGGGGAGAAGGGAGCACCAGGGCCAGTCCCAGCTGAAAGGAACACACAGTGAGATACCCCCAGGACCAGGGGGAATGCAGCGAAGGACAAAGGCTCCCCTGGAATGAGTCCAGTTTCAGTGCTGTGATGGCAGTGACACTGGGTGCCGAGGGAAGGGGATGGGGATGGAGGACCCGGGGGGAGGGAGTGAGGGGAATGGGGATGGAGCAGGGTGGGGGCAGGAACACCAGGTGGGAAGGAGCAGCAGTGCAGTCATGAGACCTCCTCAGTGCTGCCCGCTCCCAATTTCCTCACCACAGTGATGTGAGTTTTGGCCTCTGTTGCAGTCGGTTTCCTAATGATGCGAGTAACTCTCCAGCCTTCCTGGGAATTTCAGCCTGGCACATGGGAAGACTCTTCTGGTTGGCTGCCTTTCCACCTCCTGGGGATGAGCAGCCAATCAGGGCTGCTGCAGAGGCAGTGGGAGCTCTTCCCCTCCTCTCCAGAGCCCAGAGCCCTCCTTGCAGGAGGGAAAGGAATTAAAAGAGTCCCCCTCCCCCACCCCCATTCCTGCAGCTGGGAAGGGGGAAATGGAGCAAGCCTGTGAGAGGGTGTGAAGAACCCTTGGTACTAGAGAAGGAGCAGAGGTGGGGATTGGGGAGCACAGAATTAATGCATGAGAATGGGGGAGAAGTTCTGGAGACACCTCTGAGTCCCATTCCCCCCTCCCCCCCCGCAGCAGACCCACCTTTCACTGGAACCTGCCCAGAAAGGCAGGAGCTGTGCACTGCAGCTGCTGAGCCATGAACAGCAGGAGCCAGTGCAGAGGGAGGAGATGTCTGCGGGCTCTGGCACCGGAAATCCCCGTGGGTTACAGCTGCAGCAATGCTAACCCCCTGGGCACAGCCAGAGCTGCTTCTTCAGCAAGACAAGAAGTGGGGGGGTCTCCACCAGGGCTGGGGAAATGAAGCAGTAAAACTGGTGCCACCAGGACCGGGGCAGGAGACATTGCCTGGATCCAGTCTGGAACGGCTGCAACCAGTGTGGGCATCTGCCCTGAATCCAGAGTGACTCCAGTCTGGGATCAAGGATCTTTCACCATAGGAGAAAATCACGTTTCCCACCCATGGGCTCCTCCAGCTGTAACTGCAGTAACTTTTCAGGTGAGTCCGGGGGTTGCTGTGCCGAGTGGAGAGGCTCAAACACCCGCCCAGTTTGGTGTTCGTAAAGGTAAATTGGGCCATCTCTGTGCTTCAATGTGACGTGGGGAGGGGCAGCGTTCTGGGGGAACATCCCCACATTGGATGTGACGATTGCCAGAGCCTTCGCTGTCCGTAGCATGATGGCAGAATCCCCAGGGAGCCCTGACAGCTCAGCCAAGGACTATGCAATGAGCTGCCTGGGAGCCATACTTACCCCTCTGCTGCAGCACCAGAGCCAGCTAGGCAGGCCCAGGTCGGGTGGGGCAGGGCTCTCTCCAGACAGTGTGGGCCCAGTGCTCCCAGCAACCCTTCTGTTTTGCAGGTCTGGGGCAGGTGCAAGGCACTGGTGCCATGTGGGGGCTTGTTGGGGCACTGGTCCTGTCGCACCTGGTGTCCCTGTTGTGGAACATTCTCTGCTGTGTGAGGCACACAGCACACAGAGGTATGTGCTGCAGGAGGGAACAGTCTGTTCAGAGCACAGGGGCACAGTTCCTCCCCCCATAACTATAACCCCTATGTGGGGCTCCTTTCTCCTGTCCCTCTGTCTCCCAGACTGTCTTGGTGCACAGGGGGGCTCCCATATCCCTCTCCCCTACAGGGGTCTGTCTCCTTGGTCCCCCTTCCCATATATCTCCAGAAGGGGCTACTGCCTCCAGTCCCCTCTCCCCCCCGCCTGTTTTGTGTCTTCCTGCAGAGGGCACCCTTTATCCCCCCTCACTCCATGTCCCAGCCCCAACTCCCACCCCCACATCTCACTTCACAGGGAACCCAGCTCCCCTTCTCCATGGTGCCCAACCTATCTCATGCCCAGGCTCCCCCACCCAGAACCCCATCCTCCGCTGACTCCTCTCCTCCCATGTCCCTGCCTGCCACACTGGACTGGTACCACCAGCATCCCAGAGACCCATTCCCACCCCCCACCCCCGTTAAAGCCTGTGGAGCTGATCTCTTTTTCTTTCTTTCTCTCTCTCCCGCCCTACCTGCCCAGATGAGTCCAGGAGGCTCTTGCCTCAGTTCAGCAGAAGGTGAGTCCAACAGACAAAACAGCAGGAGCAACGAGTCGCTACATTGTCCAAGTCCCAAAGCATCACCACTGAGGTTCTCTCCATGCTGTTAGGGGGAGGGGAGGGAGGAAGCTTTGTCAGCCAGCAAGATGGAACAGAGGCCGCGAGAAGGGTGGAATGTCACAGGGAATCAGAACCAAGGAATAGAATCCAGGAGTCCTGACTGCCAGGCCTTCCCTCCTGCTCTCAACCCCTAGGTCCCACTCCCCTGCCAGAGCTGGCCCAGGAATCAGGGTTTTTGATTCCCCATCCTGCATATCACTACCAGCTCAGCTCTCTGGCTGGACGGGCCTCTGGTCTGAATTAAGGGGATTGTTACAGATTGAGCCCACACAAGAATTTTTTCCCTCTCTGGGTGTGTACCGCCACTGCCACCTTTCCCAGCCCTCCTCTTCCTCTGTCTGTCCCCAGCGCATTCACCTTTGACCCTGGCTCTGAGCCATTTACTGGATTTTTGGTTTCCATCCCAGTGTGAAGCATGTGACTGAGGAGATTCCAGTCTATGGCAACATCAGTTACCTGCAGACAGGTGAGTTGCACCCAAGCCCCTCACAGGATCAGGCCCCATTGTGCTGAGGCTGCCTGCTCTCTGCCCTGAGTAAAAGAGCACACAGGCACGTACACACACGATGTGTGTGGAGAGGAGATAATTCTGTCACCTGTTCTATGACATATACTGATCGAGTCTCCAGCTGGCAGCAGGCATGTCAGCATCATCAATGCTGATTTGTGTCTGCTGGGAGCCTGGCCCTTGGCTACAGCCACAAACCCTCTCTAAGAAGGGCCATTCATGGGCTGGTTTCTTGTGTATGCTGAGGGAACGTGTTTGAAGCAGCTTTGTCCATGTGTGCAGGAAGGCAGCAGCCGCTGGGGCTGCGGATCAGCCCCCCTTCCCATCCTGAGGACCCTGAGAGTCTGTGGCTGCCTGACTCAGGCTTCGTTAAGACAGCCAGGTGCTGCCTGTGAATTGGGGCTCCCTCCAGCTGCTCAGTACTTCTGCAAACTGGAGCTGGCTTCTATCTCCGAGCTGGTTCTGGACTCTCAGCATCAGCAGCAACCTTCCCTCTCCCTCTGTCAACAGGGCAAAGTTCTGGGTTTGAAAGCTCAGCAGTGTCAGAGTCCCAGGAGGAGCAGGAATCCAGCCCCAAGGTGAGCAGAGCTCTTGGTACATGTGTGGCCAAAGACATCTGTAGCCACAGAAGCCGCAGCAATCAGCCGGGGATGGTGCAGGGGCCGTCCCCTGACTGACTGACCTGTGGCATTAGAAATTGGGTAGGGTTAAGGTGTGGGTGGGGAAGCCCAGGGCTGGGATATCAGGGGGATGCAGGTTGTGATTGAGGGGTGTTGGTGGGGATGGGAGAGAGCCCAGGCTTGGAATAGCAGGTAACTGCAGGTACAGATTGAGGGGCACCAGCAGAGTTGCAAATGGGGTGGGAGAGCTGGTGCTGTGGGGGCTCTAGAGTTGCGAGCGTTACATTCATGTGTTCAGGGGCTGTGTGTGGAGATTAACTGCTTGCAGAGTGGCAGGAAGCGGTGAGTTATCGGCCCTGAGCATCTCTGTGCTAAGCCCAACTCCTCTCCTCGACCTACTTTCTGCCGTTGACTTCTGGCTGCTCTGTATCCCACTGTTGAGTTTGCCTCCAGCGAGCAGCAGGACCTCCAGGCATGGAACTGGGATGCAGTTTGCAGACAGTGGGGGTTAGCTCTGATGGACAGCGCAGGAAGCACAAAGCGGGAAGGGGATGCATGAGTGAGACTGAACACCCATCATTGCCTCAGAGCCCTGTTGTCACAGACCCTTTGGGGCTGATGACAGCAGGATCTGTTGAGCTGAGCCGAGCCCCTAGCTGCATTTGTGGTCTCATAGTAGGGCAGGCTATGTGGTGAGTGGTGCTGAGGCATCCTGTCTGCAAGGAGAGGGCTGAATAGCAGCACTGGGGAAGGCTAAAGCCCCAGGGAACAAGCTGTGGGGCACAATTCCTCAGACACGATGGTGATGGGAACTCCAGGTATTTCCCTGCTCTGGAGATAAGCTGGTCTCTGAGTGTCAGGGGGCTATTTCCCTTCCTGCAGCCTACGAACCCCACAGCATGGGGGTGATGCTCTTCCTGAGAGGGAGCAAAGGGACCCTCCCGCTATTCAGGGCGCGCTCAGCTCCACCATCCCCAGCAGGAGCAAAACCCACCCCACGGGGAATTTGTTGGTTACCAGAGGGTGGGAGTTAGTGCTGCCAGTGGCATCCTAAGCAGCCAGAGGCCTCCACCCAACCCTAAGGCACATGCCACCATATGCCACCCTTCCCCCAACACCTCTGCTCTGTCCCCAGAAGCCTACGTGCTACGCCAACCTCAAGATGCTGAAACCCCAAGGCCGGCAGCTGCCAGAGTCATCAGTGGGGGGTGCTGAGATCCAGTACACAGATGTGGTGGTGACGGGGCCCAGGCGGTCAGAGCCAGAGATTTGGGGCGGGGGGCCCCTGAAGGGCAGAGAGGCTACTCGGCCGCAGTCAGAGCTTTATGCGTCTGTGCATTCAGACAGATACACAGCCAAGTTTGAGAACCAAGACTACGCTAACAACCATGCGGTTCCCAGCTGAAGGGTGGGGGCTAACGGGGTTCTGTGTGCATGATTCATAGCAATAAATGCAAGCTTCACTAATGTCTCCCCTGTCTCATGTGCTGCTGAGGATACAGAAATGCCCCTGTTCCAGCAATGCCCACTGCCCCAGGGTGGGGCCATGCGCAGATCCCATCATGCTGTGTTGCTGACAGCGATTTAACTTCTGTGGCTACTTCTTCCTCAAGCAGCCAAGATTCCCCGGCCCCGCTCAATAATGCACAGTTCCCCTGCCTGGGAAGGTGATGGGGATACTTCCTGTACATGGGGCAGGGGCGTATATAGTTATTGGTACTGTTGGGGCGGGGGGGGGAGGTAGTGCCTCCCCGCTGAGCTTTACGGTGCCGGTCACCACCCGCCCTGCCACATTCCTGAGCTTGGTCTCCCCGTCATGCCAGGTGCTAACTTACCCCCACCCCGCAGAACAGAGAGGGCTTTCCCCACGGAAGGCATGATCTGAACAGCCCCACCCCGGGGCACAGGTGCAACGAGAGACGGGCCCTGCCCCAAGCTGGGCTCACGCTGTTCCGAAGCGACGGGCGGGTCGGAATCTGAGAGTGGAAGAGCTGGGGGCGCCCTGGGGGTGTCTCAGACCCGGCTCCGGCAGCGGGCGGAGCCGGGAGCGGAGGGGACGCAGAGGCGAGGCATGAAGGGGGAAGGCCCGGCAACGGGCGGCTGCCCCAGAGCCCCGGAGACGTGGAGTCGGGGGCACGGCCCGGGGGGGGGCACGGCCCGGGGGGGGCACCAGCCACAGCCCCCTCCCCAGGGCAACAGCCTGCCGGACGCTGGGGTCCCGCGACCGTGGGGGACTTTCCGGCTTCCGCCCTGCCCGCGGGGATCCGCGCCCCTGCCCCAGGCGCGGGCTGTTTGCCCCCGTCAGCCGGTGAGTCTCCGCCCTCCCGCCAGTGAGGGCAGCGGCTTCAGCAGACGTTACTGAGCATGCTCAGTCCGTGCGCAGCTGCCCCAGTCCCAGGGCAAACGCGCCTCGGCTCGCTACGCAGCCCAGGGGGCCGGCGGGGGAAGGGGGCCAGGCTGACCCTGGGGCCCTCCCGTCGCTGGGCCCCGGAGGGCGGAAACGCCCCGGGGCAGGCTGGTAAGTGTAGTTCCTGACTCTCCTCGGGCCGGAAGTGACGTTGGCGCCTGCCCCGGCGACGGCCCCTGCCGTCGCTCAGGAGGCGGAAGTGCCCCGCCCGCTTTCCTGGGCACGCTGGGAAGCGTAGTTCCCTCTCACGCAGGCCCGGCCTCCTAGTGGCGCAGCGGCTCGCGCCTCATTGCGGGGCCCGCGGCCGCTCTCGGCTCCCTGCCTGGCGCGGGTGGGGCTGATGGAGCCGGAAGGGGCGGGGCCGGCCGATGGGAGCCGGAAGCAGAGAGGCGGGGGCTCGGCGACGCGCCCGTTGCCGGGAGACCGGGCTGAGCTGGGCGGGCGGGTCATGGAGCCTCGGCGCCCGGGAGAGCCGCAGGCCTCAGGCCGCCTTCGGCTCGGGCCGGCTCTGCCCCGGGGCGGGGCCCCTTCGTGTGCCGGGGGGAGATGGGGGCGCAGCCCGGGGTCCACGGGGGGGCGGTGTGAAATCCTCACTGCCCCCCCCCAGCTGCCCGACATCTGCCCAGTGCCAGGGAGTCTCTGCCCCAGCCCCCCCCCCCCCCCCCGGAAGCAGCTCCCCAGAGGCTCACGAGCTGCCCTGGAGAAGCCATCAAAGTCCCCCACTTCTCTCACGTGGTTAGTGTCAGCAGAGAATCCCTTCAGGTCTCGGTGGTTTTCTATCATATTAAATACCTTTGACCTCTTTCTTCCCCAGTTCTCAGAGAGAGATCTAAAATATCCAGCCTGCACTCCTGTAGTAGCCGGGTGGTCCCAGGATATTAGAGGCTGCCCCTTTGATTTATATACAAATGTTTGGTGTTATTCTCCATCCCAATCCTTATGAACCCTTACATGTGGTTAGCTTTTCTGGGCTGTGGCTGTGCATTGAGTGGAGTTTTTAATTAAGCTGTCTACAGCAACATGCAGGTCGCTTTCTTGAGTTGATAGTTAATTTACAACCCAGTAAGGTGTGCGAGGAGCTCCAATTTTCCCCTCCAAAGTGCGATGCTTTGCATTTAGAGAGACAGGGTAGGGTAGGTAATACCTTTTACGGGACCAACTTCTGTTGGTGAGAGAGAGAAGCTTCTGAGCTACAGCGGTATACATCCGATGAAGTGAGCTGTAGCTCACGAAAGCTTATGCTCAAATAAACTGGTTAGTCTCTAAGATGCCACTAGTCCTCCTTTTCTTTTTACAGAGGTTTTTAGAAGAATATCCTAAAATATGCTAAAATTTTGCCCTGCTTCCTATCTAGTTATCTTTTACTAATTTAATATTCCCTGAGATTTTTTTTCCTGTCTCTCTAATTATAGAATATTAACATAAAATCCCCTCCGATTTTGACTTTTTCTCAAATTCTTGAATATTGATAGCAAATCCTTGTAGATGTTGCCCCTTTTCTATCTTTTTCAAATAATGATATGAAATTCACTCAGATTTTACCTCTGTGCCTACTACTGACTGTTGATACATAATCCCTTACAATTTTATACTTTCCTCTCTAGTTTGTGAAAGTTGATTCAAAATTCTTCAGATTTCCACCCTTCTCCCTTTAATGACTGAACATTGATATCAGCACTCAGATTTTTGCCTTTTGCCATGAAATTATCAAATGTCTGTTAAAAAGGATCTCGGGTTTGGAGGTGTTCTCAGGTTTAGTTTCAGCAACTTCTCCTTTTTGGGAGGGAATTTGTTGCCTTGAGCCATTCTCCATACTGGTGGTTGTAAGGGATTAAATGATAAACTTTCCCCTCTCATTTGAGACTCATTTCTTTCCCCATTTATCTCCATTAAAATGTTTTCTGATGAAAGTGACCTGCCCATATTTAATACACAACAAAGCCAGAAGCCTCCCCGGCCAGTCTCCCAGCTGCTCACAGGACAGTTGGTTGGAACCTTTTCTTTTCCTCAGGGGGGCACAAGATGAGGGTTCACTCATGATGGGCTCCTTGGTGCCCAGAATGGCTGAGAATCTCCATGCTAGTGTATTAGCCCCTCATTTTCCCCTCACCAATATCACTAGTAGTATCCAAAATCCTATGATGAATGGTCTCCATGTGGGAGTGCTTTCCTCACTGCTGAGATGTAGTTGTCTCTGGGGTGGGTCCCTGTTAGCCATTATCTGTCTGTCTCTCTCTCCTCAGGATATTGGTGTTGAGCTTCCTGGGTCAAATGCTGCTGCCTCCACCGTGACCTTGAAGCTCAGGCTGAGCAGCTGCTGCTCCCCGAGAGGGGTCTGAGCTGGGGAGTGACCTTGAGTAAAACTTCTGTTCCCAGCCAAGGTGAGGACTTTCTCCAGCTGTAATTACTCCCATAGGCCAGCCCTAGGGTCTGCCCACATCAGCATCTGAGCCAGAGACTCCAGGTGATTGGTGGAGACCTTAGGAAATGTGCTGTGGATGGACATTAATGTGACTGCACAAACAGTCCCTCCTCGCCCCTCGTATCTCCTCCCCTTCGCAATGGCAGGAGCCGATCCAGCCAGAGGAGAGCGAACCCCCAGGAATGGCTGAATCTCAGCCACAAGGGGCAGAACAGGGGAAGGGAAATAGAACAAGAAAAAGGAGAGAGAGACTGAAAGGGGCACTCGGAGAAATACTTGGTGAGAGAGATTCCCAGATCTCTAACTTGCCCCCACACACTCATTGCAGAGAAAAACAACAAAAAGGATCAGGGCTGTGGAACAGCTTCCGTATGAGGAGAGATTAAAAAGAGTGGGACTTTTCATCTTGGAAAAGAGACGACTGAGGGGGTGGGGAATGTGATCGAGATCTATAAAATCATGACTGGTGTGGAGAAAATGAATGAGGAATTGTTATTTACTAGGGCTGTTGATTAATTGCAGTTAACTCGCGTGATTAAAAAAAGTAATTGCGATTAAAAATTAATCACGATTAATCGTCATTTTAATTGCACTGTTAATAGAATACCAGTTTAAATTTATTAAATATTTTGGATTTTTTTCTACATTTTCGTATATATTGTATTCTGTTTTGTAATTGAAATCAAAGTGTATATTTTTATTACAAATATTTGCACTGTAAAAATGATAAACAAAATAAATAGTATTTTTCAATTCACCTCATACAAGTACTGTAGTGCAATCTCTTTGTCATGAAAGTGCAACTTAAAAATGTAGATTTTTTTTTGTTACATAACTGCACTCAAAAACAAAACAATGTAAAACTTCAGCGCCTACAAGTCCACTCAGTCCTACTATTGTTCAGCCAATCGCTAAGACAAACAAGTTTGTTTACATTTACAGGAGATAATGCTGCCCTCTTCTTATTTACAATGTCACCAGGAAGTGAGAACAGGCATTTGCATGGCAATTTTGTAGCTGGTATTGAAAGATATTTATGTGCCAGATATGCTAACCATTCATATGCCCCTTCATGCTTCAGCCACCATTTCATGCTGATGACGCTCGTTAAAAAAATAATGTGTTATTTAAATTTATGACTGAACTTTTTGGGGGAGAACTGTATGTCCCCTGCTTGCATTCTGCCATATATATGTTACAGCAATCTAGGATGATGACCCAGCACATGTTGTTCATTTTAAGATCAATTTTACTGCAGATTTCACAAAACACAAAGATAGCTACAGCATTTAACCCAAGGTTTAAGAATCTGAAGTGCTTTCCAAAATCTGAGAGGGACGAGGCGTGGAGCATGCTTTCAGAGGTCTTAAAAGAGCAACACTCCGATGTAGAAACAACAGACCCCCAAATCACCAAAAAAGAAAATCAACCTTCTGCTGTTGACATCTGACTCAGATAATTAAAATAAACATGCTTTGGCCCTCACTGCTTAGGATCGTATTGAGCAGAACCCGTCATCAGCATGGGCGTGTGACCCCTGGAATGGTGTTTGAAGCATGAAGGGATATATGAATCTTTAGCGCAGCTGGCACATAAATACCTTGCAATGCTGGCTACAACAATGCCATGAGAACGCCTGTTCTCACTGCCAGGTGATATAACCAAGAAGCGAGCAGCATCATTTCCTGCAAATGTAAACAAACTTGTTTGTCTGAGCGATTGGCTTAACAAGAAGTAGGACTGAGTGGACTTGCGGGCGCTAAAGTTTTACATTGTTTTATTTTTGAATGCAGGTTTTTTGTACATAATTCTACATTTGTAAGTTCAACTTTCATGATAAAGAGATTGCACTACAGTACTTGTATTAGGTGAATTGAAAAATACCATTTATTTTGTGTTTTTACAGTGCAGATACTTGTAATCAAAAATAAAATATAAAGTGAGCACTGTACACTTCGTATTCTGTGTTGTAAATGAAATCAATATATTTGAAAATGTAGAAAACATCCAAAAATATTTAAATAAATGGTATTCTATTATTGTTTAACAGTTCAATTAATCGCACGATTAATTACGTTTAATTTTTTTAATCACTTGACAGCCCTATTATTTACTCCTTCACATAACACAAGAACTAGGGTTCACACAATGAAATTAATAGACAGCAAGTTTAAAACAAACCAAAGGAAGTACTTCTTTGCACAGCGCACAGTCAACCTGTGTAACTCTTTGCCTGGGGATGTTGTGAAGATCAAAACTATAACAGGGTTCAAAAAAGAACTAGATAAGTCCATGGAAGGATAAGTCCATCAATGGCTATTAGCCAGGATAGGTGGGGATGCAACCCTATGTTCTGGGTGTCCCTAACCTCTGTTTGCCAGAAGCTGGGAGTGGACGACAGGGAAAGGATCACTTGATGATTGCCAGTTCTGTTAATTCCCTCTAGGGCACCTGGCATTGGCCACTGCTGGAAGATAGGACACTGGGCTAGATGAACCATTAGTCTGACCCAGTATGGTCTTTCTTATGTTAAACTACCAGCTCGCCTGAACTCTTTATTTTTTGCCTTAGATTTTATTTTCATGGGCCTTCACCTACCAGTTCTCTGAGTTTGTTGAAGTCCATTGTTCTTATTCTGCTGCTCTCGTGCCTTCCTTCTCTTAGGATGGTGAAATCTATCATTTCATGATCACTTTTGCCCATATTGCTTTTCACCTTCAGTTCCTAACTAATTCCTTCTAATTAGTCAGAATCAAGTCTAAGATGGCTATTCTCCGGCTACTTCTTCCATCCTCTGAAAAAAAACAAGTGTCCCCAGTACATTCCCGGAACTTACTGGGCACTTTGTGTTTGGTTGAATTCCTTTTCTAACAGATATCTGGGTAGATTAACCCCCTCCCCCACACACACAGTTTACTAACTGTGTTTTGAATATTTCTGTTATTTGCCTGACAGAATCTAGAACATCCGTCTGCAGGGAAAGAGCCAGGGGGAATTGTGATGTGACGTTACTGTTCTGTTCTGACATGTCCCCAATTGCCCTGACAGGCTGCAGTGTAACATCCCATCCTTCCAGGGAGCAAGGAAGGGAAATGGCTGCCGTGGAGCCGGTTCAGGTAGGGATTTTAAGGGAGTTGCTGGTTGGTTCCTGTTGGCGGGAGAAGGGCAGTAAATACACAGGAGGTGGGAACTTCTGGGGTGGCTGATCTGGAGGTGGGAGGGGGCAGGAAATACCCAGGTGGAGAAGGGGGTGGGGCCAGGGGGTGACAATCTGATGGGATTTGTTTACTGTTGGGCCTGGATCTTAGCAACACCCAAGGGGTTTGTGGGTGGAAATTCCCTAATTTGTCAAGCAGGAAACAACCCCCTGGACTGGGCTGGGGAAACGTACCAGACTCCAGTCCTGGAGCCTGAACCTACTGGCCAGAGGCTGTTGTGAGAGATAAAGCGGCAGCCACCAGTTAGGCCCAGGGAAGACACCCCATCCCCTCCCATCTGGCTGCTGGCAATGGGGAGAGCTTTTGGATTCCTACCAAGGGGCTGTCCCTGGGCCCTGCTGGGGGCTTCATCTCCTCTGGCTAGTAGGTGAGTGATGAAGAGAAGACCCTGCCCCCTCTGTCTGTCATGGGGGAGGGGAAGGGGGTGAGGGCCTCTCTCTTTCTCTCCCCTCACCCTGATGCTGCCTGGCAGCTCTGATGGCGTGGGGGTAGGACTCTGCTGCCTCCCAGAGCTTCCGTGTGATTGGCCCTCCTCCCCAGTGAATGGTGGGGTTGTAACTGGACAGCAAGTGCTGAGTGGGGTACTCTCGTTCTTTCAGGGGCCAGTGAATTTCGAGGAGGTGGCTGTGCTTTTCACCAAGGAAGAGGGGGCTCTGCTGGACCCCTACAGAGAGCCCTCTACAGAGACGTCATGCAGAAGAACTATGAGAACGTGACCTCGCTGGGTGAGGATTTCTGTCCCCTTTAGAAGGGGAAATGAAGAGTGAAGGTTCATGACACCCCACATGTAATCTCAACTCTGACCTGTTTCGGCAACAGGCCAATGACACTCACACTAGCATTTTTCCCTCCCTGCTACAGAACGCTCTGGGAGCAGAGCACAGGCGCAGTACAGCACAAAGTCTAACACCGTCTCTCTGCTAAGGCAAAACTTGGGGTTAGGTCCGGTGTAGGGAACAGAAGCTGCCTACCCCTGGCTTGCACTCCATCACTGAGCCTACTGCCCACAACGCATCAGACTTTCATAGTGTCACCACACCTTTACCTTTGCACTGAGGATTCCTTATGAGTCATGACCTTCACTTACCCCTCACTGAGCACTGGAGACCACTAGCATGTATGCCACCAGACTGCTGACAGTACACATGGCAAGAACACACCTTTGTGCACCATTATTGACACAACCTACAACACTCAGCATTGAAATGAGGAACACATGTTCCTTCCATTTTCACATGCACCTCTCCGCATATCATAGGGCTTTTCTACACTACCGCGTGGGGTCAATCTAAGATACGCAACTTCAGCTATGTGAATAGTGTAGCTGAAGTCGATGTACTTAGATCTACATACCACTGCGGTAAGTTGACAGCTGACGCTCTCCCGTCGACTCTGCTTGCGCTTCTCATTCTGGTGGAGTACCTAACAAACCTAAAACTCTCCTCCCTAGCATCAAATGATGAGTCAACGAGATTGAAATTCACATGTGCGAGTCGATGAGAGAGTGCTCAGCGGTCGATTTTATTGTGTCTATACTAGATGTGATAAATCGACCCCCGCTGGATCGATCGCTGCCCACCGATTCGGCGGGTAGTGTAGACAAGCCCTTAGTCACAGCTTTGCCAAGCTGCTCCAACTATTCCCTCCACCATTCATGTAAAGCTACAGCTGACACACTGCGCACGGCTGGAGGGCCTGCAGGTAAGTGGTGGTGTTCCAATCTGTAGAATAGAACACAAACAATGGTATGTTCTTAGTCCTTCCTCCTATTGATTATTGATCAATAGATTTTAAGGCCAGGAGAGACTATTAGGTCATCTAGTGTGACCTGTGTAATACAGGCCATGGAGTTTCATCCAGTTACCATTGTAGTGAGCTGAATACCTTGTGTTTGATTAAAACATCTTCCAGGAAGGCATCCCATCTTGACTTGAAGACTTCAAGAGATGGAAAATTTGCCACTTCCCTGGGTAGTTCGTTAACATTTGCACCACCCTTACTGACCTATTCCTAGTGAGATTTGCTAGCTCCAGGGTTAGGGGGTAAGGCCAGAGTTAAGGTTGTATTGGAAGAGTGGTGTGTAGTTTAGTCCTTCATTTCCTGTTTTTCACGGATTTTTAACTTTTGTCACCATCCACATGCTTGGAAAGCCATGCGGCAGCACTGAACAACCTTAACTCTGCTTTAATGTAGTTTATGGGCATTTAATTCCTTTGAGTTCTTTTTAATGGATTTTTTTGCCACTATAACTGTCTACTCTAGAGATTTTGCTGGCGAGCTATGTCAGGTGGGGACGTGATTTTTCACACCACTAACCTGACAGAGCTATGTTGGCAAAATTCTTAATTAGGGACCAGTCCAATATCTCCATGTAGATTTGAGAGCATTTGAAGATATTGTTCTTAACACAGAAATGTTGGTATCAGGGCAAAACTTCCAAGAGAAATTTCTACAGAATGTAAGAATAATACACAAGACACATTGTCTGACAGTTGTCAGGGATAGGGCTAAGACTCAAATGCATGGTGTAGCTCAGGTTCAATGGCCATAGCATGTCCTCTTAAGCCAACCAATTATTGTGACAGCAGATTTTTGGAAACCCTCTGGCTGTTAAAAGATCTTCATCTTGCTGCACATGTGAATTTCAATCTCGTTGACTCATCATTTGATGCTAGGGAGGAGAGTTTTAGGTTTGTTAGGAACTGGGGGACCTCTTGGGAAAGGAGGATCCTGTAAAGGAAGGATGGGCTCCACCAAAACCAAAATAGAACCAGACTTACGGCATGTAAAATTAAAAAGTTCAGAGAGGAGATTAAACTCAGTGATGGGGGAAAGCTGACAGGTGCGGAGGAGGTGCTCCCCCCATCCAAAAGGCTAGTTACCCTGTCAAAGAAGGATATTAGGTTGGTTTGACATGATTTCTTCTTGGCAAATCCAGGTAGACAGTTACTTCTCACTGTATTTTCTTTAAGATGCTTAGAAATTGTTTAATTATTTGGTCCATTATCTTTCTGGTTACCAAAATTAATCTGACTGGCCTATAATTCTCTGGATTGTCCTTGTTTCCTTTTTATAGGTAGGTATTATATTCACCTTTTTCCAGTTCTCTGAGATATCTCCCATCATTCATGAGTTCTCAAAGATACTCACCAGTGGCTCAGGGTTCCCTTCAGCCAGTTCCTTAAGTATTCGTGGATGTATTGAAGGCATCATCAAAGGTTATCGCTAATGACGAGGTCTCTTCAGCCAGGTTCTTAAGGAGCTTACTCTGCAGGAAGGGAGATTTGGGTTCGATATTAGGAAAATCTTTATAATGATAGTTATTCTCTGGAATAGGTTTCCAAGGGAAGTTGTGGATTCTCCATCATTGGAGGCTTTAAAAACCAGTTTGGACAAACACCCATTAAGGATGGTCTAGGTTTACTTGGTCCTGTCACATGATATGGGGCTGGACTTGATGACTTTTTGAGCTCTCTTCCAACCCTACCTCTCTGTGGTTCTGTGCCTTTTCCCCTGCTGCTCCTTGGTCTTTGGAGCAACTCCCCATAAACATCCCCAGACCTACCTTGTTATCCTTCTTCCCATCCCTCCATACAACGCTCATGTTCCATGAAGTTTTAAACACATAACAGTGGTTAGGCAGCTGGTGTGCTGAGCCCACTGTCTCTCAGGGTGACAGATGTTGTGACAATTGTTTCCTTGTGCTCCCCCGTCGCTATTTAGGGCCATTGCACCCATATTCCTCCTCTGGTCCAGCAAGGGCACCCACTCTCAGGCTGCTCAGCTGTCATTTCCCTTGGGTAGAAACCCAGATCTCTCTCCCTCCTGACTGGGGTATCTCCAGGCTGCACAGCTCCTGCCTCCATTGAGAATTCCCCAGCAAGGCAGATCCCCTCAGGAGGCCTGCTTTGCCTTCCTTCCCCAGAGGCTATGAACAGTGTAACCGCCCCTGGTTAAGTTACCACACAGCCCTTCCCCAGCAAACAATGATTCTCACGATAAAAGCATTACAGAGAGAACATATTAAAAAAGAATTAAAGAATGTATACACATGCTAATGAGCTTACCCGAGATCAGCCTAGGCTGACCAGACTGCAAATGTGAAAAATCAGGATGGGGTGGGGGGTAATAGGAGCCTTTTTCAGAAAAAGACCCAAAAATCGGGACTGTCCCTATAAAATCGGGGCATCTGGTCACCCTAGATCAGCCCAACCCCACCGAGGGCTCAGGCAGGTGAACAGACCTTCAAACCCCACCAAGAGTTTTTCCTGTGGTCACAATCTACCAGTTCGTAGCTCAGAACAAGCATGCCCATGCATCTGAGAGTCACCCTGTTATCCAGTTTGGGCCTCTGAACTTGTCTTCATGTAACAGGTGATCAGTACACAATCTGATGAAGTGGGTATTACCCACGAAAGCTCATGCAATGGGAGGGCACCTTGGTGTTACTTGTGCCATGGCAGCCAAAACTTAAACAAGTGTGGAAAGAGACTTTCAAACTTCTGGGGTAAATTCCCCCTGGTGTGGGAGTTTAGCCTGTCTAGCTGTAAAGAAGAAACTTCTAGTGCAGAGGGGAAAGGCAAACAGGTGGCTTGGAGAGGCCACAGGAGGTGGTCTACAGGATTTGCTCTGGCTGTTGAATCCCCATAAAGAAGGGATCCCCTCTATCTGATCAACATTTGATGCCCAAATTAAGGTTGGGTGAACCGATTTGAACAAAGAGCAAATGCTGAAGTGGTATGGGGGTCCTGACAGACTTGCATCAAAATAACACATGGTATGAACTGAAGCCGACTTAACAGTTTTGAAAAACAACGAGGAGTCCAGTGCACCTTAAAGACTAACAGATTTATTTGAGCATAAGCTTTCGTGGGTAAAAAAGCCCCCTTCTTCAGATGCATAGAATGAAAATGACAGATGCAGGCATAAATATACTGACACATGAAGAGAAGGGAGTTACCTTACAAGTGGAGAACCAGTGTTGACAAGGTCAATTCAGTCAGGGTGGATGTGGTCCACTCCCAATAATTGATGAGGAGGTGTTCCCTAGCGTCTCTCCTCTACTTGCACTACATTGACGACATCTTCATCATATGGACCCACGGGAAGGAGGCCCTTGAGGAATTCCACCTGGATTTCAACAGTTTCCACCCCACCATCAACCTCAGCCTGGACCAGACCACACAAGAGATCCACTTCCTGGACACTACAGTGCAAATAAGTGATGGTCACATAAACACCACCCTATACCGGACACCTACTGACCGCTGTACTTACCTACATGCCTCCAGCTTCCATCCAGGACACATTACATGACCCATTGTCTACAGCCAAGCCTGGGGTAGCCCTCACTGGAAATGCCAAGATCAGGGCGGGCTGCAAAAGGGAGAGCAGATACCCACCAGTCTTGAGAGTAACACTGAAGTTAAACTCCCCAACCAGTCACAAACTGTGCTTCTGATTCTACCCACACACACACACACACACACAAACTGGTTATCAAGATGCAAAAGGAAATCACACAGCTCCCTCTATTGCATTCCAGTTCTCTGGCTCCCAATCAGCACCTAGGTCCGGTACACTGAGAAGTTATTTAAAAAACTCTGCTCATATATACAAAATGTTCTTCTGATCCCAAAGGGTCAGCCATGTTCCCAGGGCAGTATAGGTTTGGATCTTACCCAAAATGCCATGCTGTCAGCCAATGCTTTAGTGTCTAAAACTAAAGCTTTATTATAAAGAAAAAGGAAGAGAGATGGTAAATGGTAAAACAGTCACATACAAAGCCTTCAAAGTCTCTCAGGTTCCTATCAGTATTGGTGAGTTTGCAGGCTTGAAAGTCCCTCTGGAAAACATTCACAGCTTGGATGGGTCATTCAGTCCTCTGTTCAGAGCTTCATTTGTAGAAAGGTTTCAGAGTAGCAGCCGTGTTAGTCTGTATCCACAAAAAGAAAAGGAGTACTTGTGGCACCTTAGAGACTAACAAATTTACTTGAGCATAAGCTTTCGTGAGCTACAGCTCACTTCATCGGACACATTCAGTGGAAAATACAGTGAGGAGATTTATATACACAGAGAACATGAAACAATGGGTGTCTCAGAAACCATTGTCTCATTGTTACCAAGGAGGGTGATCAGGTAAGGTGAGCTATTACCAGCAGGAGAGCAGGGAGGGTGGGGGGAGTGGAGACCTTTTGTAGTGATAATCAAGGTGGGCCATTTCCAGCAGTTGACAAGAACGTCTCTGGGGAAGGGGGGGAATAAACATGGGGAAATAGTTTTACTTTGTGTAATGACCCATCCACTCCCAGTCTTTATTCAAGCCTCAGTTAATTGTATCCAGTTTGCAAATTAATTCCAATTCAGCACTCTCTCGTTGGAGTCTGTTTTTGAAGTTTTTTTGTTGAAGAATTGCCACTTTTAGGTCTGTAATCGAGTGACCAAAGAGATTGAAGTGTTCTCTGACTGGTTTTTGAATGTTATAATTCTTGATGTCTGATTTGTGTCCATTTATTCTTTTACGTAGCGACTGTCCAGTTTGGCCAATGTACATGGCAGAGGGGCATTGCTGGCCCATGATGGCATATATCACATTCGTAGATGTGCAGGTGAACAAGCCTCTGATAGTGTGGCTGATGTGATTAGGCCCTATGATGGTGTCCCCTGAATAGATATGTGGAATAGATATATTCTTCAACAAAAAAACTTCAAAAACAGACTCCAACGAGAGACTACTGAATTGGAATTAATTTGCAACCTGGATACAATTACCTTAGGCTTGAATAAAGACTGGGAGTGGATGGGTCATTACACAAAGTAATGACAGGTTTCAGAGGAACAGCCGTGTTAGTCTGTATTCGCAAAAAGAAAAGGAGTACTTGTGGCACCTTAGAGACTAACCAATTTATTTGAGCATGAGCTTTCGTGAGCCACAGCTCACTTCATCAGATGTGTACCGTGGAAACTGCAGCAGACTTTATAAAGTCTGTGTGTATATAAAGTCTGCTGCAGTTTCCACGGTACACATCTGATGAAGTGAGCTGTGGCTCACGAAAGCTCATGCTCAAATAAATTGGTTAGTCTCTAAGGTGCCACAAGTACTCCTTTTCTTTTTACACAAAGTAAAACTATTTCCCCATGTTTCTCACCCACACACACACAGATGTTCTTGTCAACTGCTGGAAATGGCCCACCTTGATTATCACCACAAAAGGTTCCCCACTCCCCCTCCCCTCCCCGCTCTCCTGCTGGTAATAGCTCACCTTACCTGATCACTCTGCTTACAGTAAAAAGAAAAGGAGTACTTGTGGCACCTTAGAGACTAACCAATTTATTTGAGCATGAGCTTTCGTGAGCTACAGCTCACTTCATCTGAAGTGAGCTGTAGCTCACGAAAGCTCATGCTCAAATAAATTGGTTAGTCTCTAAGGTGCCACAAGTACTCCTTTTCTTTTTGCGAATACAGACTAACACGGCTGTTCCTCTGAAATCTGCTTACAGTGTGTATGGTAAAAAGAAAAGGAGTACTTGTGACACCTTAGAGACTAACCAATTTATTTGAGCATAAGCTTTCATGAGCTACAGCTCACTTCATCGGATGCATACTGTGGAAACTGCAGAAGACATTATATACACAGAGACCATGAAACAATACCTCCTCCCACCCCACTCTCCTGCTGGTAACTCTCCTGTGTGCTAACACCCATTGTTTCATGTTCTCTGTGTATATAAAATCTCCCCACTGTATTTTCCACTGAATGCATCTAATGAAGTGAGCTGTAGCTCACGAAAGCTTATGCTCAAATAAATTTTTTAGTCTCTAAGGTGCCATAAGTACTCCTTTTCTTTTTGTTTGTATAATGGTTACTCCAGAGGTAATAAGCAGGAATAAAGACAAGAAGCAGGACTGAAGACAAAATGGAGAAGATGCAGCTGCCTTTTATAGGCTTTTGCCATGTGGCTTGTGCTACCTTTGTCCTAAACACAAGCTGCCCAGTACATGGCCTGAAAGCCTTAGAGTTCTGTCCATATGCCCTTGCCTGCCTTGCTGAGTCATCAGGTGTATCCCTTGCCTTCTCTCAATGGGTCAGTTGTATAGCTGATGGTCCTTAATGGGCCATCAAGCAGCTAGGCAATGCTGATGCCAAACTGTCTGGGGGTGTCACCCAGAAGTATATCCCAAGTTTAAAATACAGACATATCTATAAAAAGAAAAGGAGTACTTGTGGCACCTTAGCGACTAACCAAGTCTCTAAGGTGCCACAAGTACTCCTTTTCTTTTTGGGAATACAGACTAACACGGCTATTACTCTGAAACCAGACATATCTATAACTCATAATACAAAAGGTGACACAAACATATAAACAAGATTATCATATCTGGCAAATCATACCGTTTTTGCAGATATCTTATGTGGCATATCTGGTATAACCCATTTTACAATTTAACACTATTGCTATTCATAATATCCTAAAGTGTCTCCCAGATTCCATACAGCGTCACACTTACATCCCAGCTTTCTGAATTGAGCAGGGCTGACTTTTCCTTGCCCGGTGTCTCAACCAGCTGGGAGACAGGCTGCCTCTGCTCTCTCTGGCAAAGTATCCAACAGGATGCTGCAGTTGCCCTGCTTCTAGCTAAACCCATGCAGGCTTTCCTTGCACATTCCTCTGGAGACTTTGTGCTCTACTGCAATGCCCCTCCTCCCCCCCAAAAAAATCCTAAAGTTGAGGCAGAGCAGAGGGGACCCCAGATCGGCTGGCTCCCTAACCTAAAAGGAAAGGATGGCGCACAGATGGAGAGGGAGCAAAGTAAACTGACCCCCATAACATCCTCTTGTAGTTTAATCCTGGGCTCATCTGTTGGCTGAATCTGTCTCCCAGCACAAGAATTAGGGGACCACTGCCCAGTTAGAAGCCCAGAGCTGGCAGCGTGGCAGAGCATCATCACTTGGGCTCTGCTACCAGGCCACCTGGCTCCAGATGGTTCACTTTGGGAATGTGAGGGCACAGGGAGCCTGGTAACGACTGCGAGCCCTGTCCCTGAGTATCGAAAGCCGTGAAGCTCTCGGCTGGATTGGGCCCCTGTAGCATAGGGGAGAGAGAAGCTCCTGTGGCTGTGCATAGGGCCTGTTTGCAAACCCTGCCTCTCCTATATTAGGCACTGGGGCATCGGCCCGTTGTGTTGGAACCAAAAAGGTCATTCTTCCACTGCCTCCAGTTTTCCAGTGCAGCCGCTCAGGGAAGAGGGTGAGCCAGGGCAACGCCTCTCCTAACCAGTTCCTGTTAAAGACCCCGCCCGCTCAGCAGCACCACTTCCTAGGGCTGGGGTTGTTTCCAGACCCATTCGGGCAGTTGAGCTCCAGGCCAGGCTCAGGAGTGACTGTGCAAATAAGTGTCTTCCTCAGCAAGCTTTAACTTCTGCAGGCTGAGGGGGCTGAAGCTGCCCAAGCTGTGTTATGATGCTTCATGCTGTCCTGGGTGCTATTTGTACGCCGCATGCCCCCTCCCCAAGAGGTAGGGCAGTGCAATAACACCCATGGTACATAGCCTGGGCCTCAGGACCCCCTGACTCGCTTGCCCACGGTCACACTGGGACTAGATAGCTGAGCCAGGAATTGAATCCAGGTCTCACATTCTAGGCCAGCCCCTATCGGACCATTCACAATCTCTTCCTCCAAGAACAACCTCAGAGAAGGCTGCAGTGGTGCACAGCAGGCTTCTGAGGGGTATCACTAAGACCCAAACACCTCAAAAGTCCCTTGCCGTATCCCATAGGGACCGACGGTCATTAGGTCTTTGGAGGTCACTAGAAGCCCAGCATGGGTGGCAGGTACCATAGGCTGGGGGAGGTTGTGCCTTCCCAAACAGCCAGATGTGGCCCCGCCCACACTCTGCTCCCAGACCCCCCTACCCCAGCTTGCCACCCTCTACATGCATGGCTCCAGCCCCCAGGCAGTGCTGGCCACAGCTGGGGGCTGCACCAGCTGCCCTCCTGGTGCTCCGGGGCTGGGGCTGGTGGCTGCAGTGGGGTGGGTGCAGAAGAAGTGGGGCCTTGGGTGGAATGGGTGGGGCTGCGAGTAGCCTCCCCCAGCCAGGGGGTCACGTGCCGCCCATGAAGCCCAGAGTATTGTGGGAGTGCTGACAGGGTGCTTGCTACCCTTGAAATACAAAGGAAGGCACTTCCTCCTGCAATGCTTCCAGTCTAGTAGCCAACCATAGCTGTCTGGATCTCTAGTCTAGCCTAGTGCCTGCTGCATATTGGGGGCTGGCTCTGGCAAGGGGGTCACCAAAGAGTTGGTGGCAAAGATGTGTTCTAAGGAGGGCTTGGAATGGAAGGAGCGGAGGCTGTTTGGGATGGGAGGGTATTTAACTAGATCCTATTACAGCTTGGAGGGCTACATAGTGCTAGCTCCATCACCTGCTGCAGCTTCTTCTGACTACAGAAGCCACCACTTTCTGCCCTCAGTGCTGTGTGCTACTCAACAGCTGGTACGTTCCACTCCACAAGTAGCTGCCTTCTTAGGGCTAGAAGTTGAGTGCAGTAGGTGAGAGGTGGTAGAGGACCCTGAGTCATGAGTTGTTATTGACATTGGCTCAGAACCAGGCAGTGGGCAGCAGGGATGACTCAAACCAGCAGGAGAACAGAGACCCATCGGAGGAAGACGGCATCTGGGCAGCAGGCCAAGGCCAATGGGTGGGGAAGCCAGAGGTAATCCCAGAGCGCTGATGCCCACTGAGAACCTTGCCAGCCTTGCAACAGCCAACTAGAAGGGTGCAATTCAACCTAAGTTGCAATGTAAGGAATTGTGACTTCGTTCTTGGCTTGCTGTTGTATCCATGAGTCTCTAATATCGCCACTTAAACTGGAAGGGTTGTATCATGCCTCAGCCTTTTATTGTAAGTAAAGTTGGGACACTTTTGTTGTCTGTCAGT